TGTCGAAAAGAGCATCTTAAACACATTACTGTCACACATAAATACAAACACAGGCTCTCTGAGCTGTATAAACTTCAGTACAGGGCGTCTTATATGTATAGTTAACATATTTGAACACATATATAAACTGTAGGTCGTCTTAATGGATGATAAAATACATGTAAACGTCAATTATTCACTATATTTTGAAATATCTTTACTTAATCATGTGTATTTTTATATCTGTGAAACCCAAACTTGAACTTGTTATAGAAATGTTGATGTTTGTATAGGAATATGAATGAAGGCCCAAAAGAGTCACAGCGATAGTACTAGTTTTATTTTAAAGTATATTAGGTATAGTATTAAGTATATTAAGTATAGTATTAAGTATAGTGTTTATAAGTATGTCTGTAATGGTCTTGCCCTTGTTAGGTTTAAACATGCTAGGTCCAAACTAACACTGTACCCTTCCTTCAAAATCACAGACAGTTTCAATATAAACATTCAAACAAACAAAACTGCAGATATTGTTTTTATCAAACTACATTCAGTCACTTTTGAGGCTTTTTTGGTGAAACACTGTTATTAACAGGTGCTTATTATTATGTACATATACTCATTTCAGACATGTCTTAATAACTTGTTTCTTTGTTTTTGTCTGTTAGTAGGAAAGACCAAAGTGAAGAAGAGCAACCGTGTGTTGTCTTTCTTCAGAAGGGCATGGAAGGCTGTGAAGGCAAAGTTTCGGAGAAACAGAGAAACCAGGGACTCATCACAGCCGAATCCAGAATTACTTGATGTCCCTAATCCCAGAGATCCTGAACGCATTACCCGCCTGCAGGACCGCCTGGAAAAATGCGCTCTGAAGTGGACACCGGTCACTGAGGTCTGGCCCAACGTCTTCATAGGAAATGTGTAAGTCTGCAACACACATCACATCTGAAGCGGTCCTGAAATGAGTAACAAATGTTGTGCGGTGCATGATTTAATAAATAATGGTAATGGTTTAAAAAATAAGAGCAAATTTAAATGTCATGGTGACTTTAATACCAATTAAAGAGTAATTAATAGTAATAACATACTGCAGCCTTATGAAGACAAATCAAACACAGCGCAGTTGTAGACTGTATTGGGCAATCTGAGCTACTTCATCATTTCTTTGTGCAAATTATATTGTTTTGCACACACACACATTTCAGAAACAAATGCAACATTAATTTTGATAAAAACATGCACTGCTTATTCATATTAATTGAAAATATATGCAAATGGCACATATAGGGCCTGTGTTTCCATTACAAATATTATAGAGAACATTACATTATCTACTCTCAAACATAAAATCACTTACAAAAGCGAAGACCTATTCTAATCTCATATATAAATCATATAAATAAATAAATAATGAGGTGATTTATTAAGAAATGAAATTTAATATTTATTATGTATCAGGAAAAAAAACATTCTACGTCATTATTATTAATAATAAAAATAAGAATATTTTATTTTATTATTTTAAAGTCTACTTTTAGATTTTGACACTTGTAAAACACTGCAGAAATGTTCTAATCATCAGGCCCATGTCAAATACAGTACAGATACTTAATAAATAACCTACTCTAAATTAAAAGCGTTAACGTATGCTGTGTTTTTTTGTTTGCACTAGCTTTGGAGCAATAACAGTAAAAATATACTAGCTTTGGTTGTGTTCAAAATGACATCAATGTTTTCAAAGTGCACTGTGAAGGGAGCAATTGTAAACATGAAGATCGCTAAAACTGAACTGTAAAAATACTTTGAAAGCAAATTACAGCTAAGAGAGATGACCTTAATGCTTTTTTAATAATTCCAAGTTTAAATGTTAGAATGTTCTAAATGAATAGGGCATAGGGGAGATAACTGAAAATAGAACACAGCCAGGAACGGTTTCTAGCTACAGCTCCAGAGGTGTAGTTGCAAGTGCACAAGTTTGCGACTCAGTTTGAGAATGTTTGTTGAATGACAGATTTGGGAAACGTCAAATAAACAAATGATGTTTGTAATGACACAACACTTGCGACCTTAGTTGGCTAAAGATGGTTTTCGGAAACGCACCCCTGGACAATTGTAGAGTAAGAGTGTTTTAATGAAGACTAATCAAGGCTGTTGTGTTCTTTTGCAGGAAGACGGCCAGAGACCCAGCCAGACTGGAGGAGATGAACATCACACACCTCCTGAACGCTGCACCAGAGCTGGACAATGAAACATCCAAAAATGAATGGGAAAAGGTTTACAAAGACATGAACATCACTTCCCTCAGACTGTCTGCAGACGATGATGGATGGTTTGATGTCACCAAACACTTTTTCCCAGCGGCAGACTTCATTCATACAGCCCTGAGCAAACCACAGAGTAAGAGTTCACTTCCACACACAAACTGAACCAACATTGTGTTGTACACTGCCAAATTGTTGAGTTTGTTTTCAGCGAATGCTGGTTTGTTTTTTGGGAATTGTGAGGACATTTCATAGGTGTAAAGGTTTTTATACTGCGCATGAAACAAATACTACAGTAATTCAGGAGTACTATAGTGTATAGCAGTAAATACTGTGCTGTTTTTAAACTCTAACTATTGTAAAGTTCTTCACAGAATTAATCTGTTGTGGTGATTCTGTGGTACTACAGTAATATAAAATAATAGCTGAAACTGCTGTTACACACACACACACACACACACTCACACACACACACACACACACACACACACACACACACACACACACTACAGAACTTAACGTACAATTTGTTTCTTTAAGTCATAAAAGTTTATTAATAACCTCCAATAACTCTGCAGATGAGTATTTCAGTATGTTTTATAGAAAGTGCACTTACCCAAACATTTCTGCATTTTTACAGCTCCAGTTCAATCATTTAGAGTCATTTTTATTATTAATATTCTTCCCTCGTCAGAAATGTCTGGGTTTACTATCCTTGTGGGGACAGTATTTATCTATCCATCTCTCCATCTGTCCTACAGTGCTAAATGTGCTAGCGATACGTTTGTGTTGATCTTTCTCTCTTTGTTCCTGCAGATAAGGTGTTGGTGTGCTGCCTGCAGGGCGTCAGCCGCTCCGCCACACTTTTCCTGGCACATTTGATGATACACCACAACAAAACACCAGAGGACTCCATTGATCTGGTGACACACAAGAGATTTATCAGGCCAAGCAGAGACTTCTTGAGGAAATTAACAATCCTCGCTGAGCAGCGACACTTAATTGAAAGTGACGCAGCGAAGAACAGAAGCAACTCTGCTGCCGATAAACCAGACCCTGAAGTGGAGTCAGTTGATTCAGAGGAAATGTATGTTTGTGAGCCGTACGGTCTTAAACCAGTCACGAAGATTTCACACATACACGACCCTGAAGCCTGCTCCAAACTAGACAATCTAGAACCGGTTCCAGGTCCGAGCGGTTATAGACCCGAACCTAAGGCAGTTGATTCAGAGGAAATGTATGTTGAGCCGTACGGTCTTGAACCAGTCACGAAGATTTATCACATACACCACCCTGAAGTCTACTCCAAACTGGATAAGTGTGCTTTAAAGCCCTATCCAGAACCGGTTCCAGGTCCGAGCGGTTATAAACCCGAACCTAAGGCCGTTGATTCAGAGGAAATGTATGTTGTGCCGTACGGTCTTGAACCAGTCACGATGATTTCACACATACACGACCCTGAAGTCTACTTTAAACTGGATAAGTGTGCTTTAAAGCCCTATCCAGAACCGGTCCCAGGTCCGAGCGGTTATAAACCCGAACCTAAGGCAGTTGATTCAGAGGAAATGTATGTTTGTGAGCCGTACGGTCTTGAACCAGTCACGATGATTTCACACATACACGACCCTGAAGTCTACTTTAAACTGGATAAGTGTGCTTTAAAGCCAGATCCAGAACCGGTCCCAGGTCCGAGCGGTTATATACCCGAACCTAAGGCCGTTGATTCAGAGGAAATGTATGTTGTGCCGTACGGTCTTGAACCAGTCACGATGATTTCACACATACACGACCCTGAAGTCTACTTTAAACTGGATAAGTGTGCTTTAAAGCCAGATCCAGAACCGGTCCCAGGTCCGAGCGGTTATATACCCGAACCTAAGGCCGTTGATTCAGGGGAGCTGTGTGTCTCTGACTTGAGTGGTCCTCAACCACAACCTCAAATGGAAGAGAAGATTTCACTCTTGCATTTGCATTTCACCCAAAATATTTCCAACCTGGACAAGCAACAAATGGAGAACAGGAAGAGATGGGTCTCCATCTGTAAAGTCTTCGACAACCTCTACGTTGGAAGCTGGTAAGTCTGCAACACATTCATGATGTATAGTACAAAGCCATGTGATGCTTTAATAGGGTAATGGAGACAGTGTTGGGTAGGTTACTTCAAGAGAGTGATTACTTCAGAAGCTCTCCCTGTTCCACATTGTCTATTTGACATTCCAGCCTTTGTTGCCGGAAATAAAACATATTGTGGAGCTGGATTAGTGACAAATGAATGAGTTAATTCAGCTGAATATATTGTAAGAGGTTACTTAAGATACTTAAGAGGTTTCCTTTGAGTCTGTATATGTTTCTGCATTGTAAGTCCGTATAGAAAGCTGATTAAAGTTGTTTGTGATCTTGTGCAGGAAAAGGGCAATGGACAGAGTTGCCCTGAAGAGGAGAGGAATTACACACGTCCTGAACACTTTACCCATTTTGGCAAATCAACATGCATTGAGGAGGGAACAGGCCAAGCTGTACGAGACAATGAACATCTCCTACCACAACGTGTTTTCAAGAGACGATGACCCGTTTAACTTTAGCTGCCATATCTACCGAGTGGCAGAACTCATGCACAAGATTCTGAGCAACCCAGAGAGTAAGAACACACACACACACACACACACACACACAGTGTATTAATATCATGTTCTAGTGTGTTCAATTGTTTTGTGTCTTTCTTTTCTCAGATCAGCTGCTGGTGCAGGATCAACAGGGTTGCAGGCACGCCTGCTTTTTCGTGGTGCCATATCTGATGATATACCATGGAAAAACATTGACGAAGGCCATTAGCCATATGATAAACCGTAAAAACATCAGAATGAGCAGGGACCTCCTGACGCAGCTAGTCGTCTTCGCTTGTCACCACAATCAGCAGCAACAGCCGGGTTTGATGCCGGAGTTTTCATCTATCGACATAAACCATCCTCAGACCATTTCCCAAATGTACCTTCGTATCGTCAAACCCTCCCAGTACTGGACTCCTGTCAGTGAAGTCTGGCCCAATGTCTTCATAGCTGACGAGTAAGTCTACAACACACACATATAACAGCAAAGCATACAGTCAAATAATGATGCAGGGTTTCACCCGGGCTTAATTCCCACAGTCATGGAGTTTTTAAAAGATCTATTGCAGACATTAAAAGTCAGGGTAAATGTTTTTAAGTCATGTTTTATCATGTTGTTGTGGTTAGGGTATTTCTCCCTGCCATTTTATTCCGCTTGTGAACCAGCAATCAAATTCAGTCCTCAAATTCAGGCTGGTAAAATACTGTCTGAGGCTGGTTTTTGTTCGCTCAGTGCTCAGTCAGTTGTTGCGTCCCAATTCGCATACTTATACTACACCCTAAAAGTATGCAGGCTTTGGGACATACTACTTCCACGTTCCTTGGTATCGAAACTTGTACCAAATATCGATATTTTTAACTTGTAGTATCGAAAATCATATAGTAGGGTATCGATGTTTGTCAAGGTATCGTATCAAAGTCTAAAATCCAGTATCGTGACCACACTACTTCAAACTATTTGACTACAGATTTGAGGACAGATGGAGTAAAAAAAAGCACAAAATGCTGAAAACTGTTAGTTTGTGGATTTGTTTTACAACATGGCCAAAATCTGCAAGCAAAATCTGCGTTATTAATACAATAACAAGCTCCTGTAAACTTTGTTAAATTCAGCATTTGTAGATTTACAGAACTCCAGAGTGAGCGCTGTGTGTTCTTCATCGTGAATTCAGCTTTTCAGTCAGTGAAAGTGAAGGGAAATTGATGATGTTGTTGTGTTCTTGTGCAGGAAAACAGCGAGGAACAAAGCCAAACTGAAAAAGATGAACATCACGCACATTGTGAACGCTGTGCCGTTGTCCTTAAAGGAAGAGGAATGGAAGGACTACTACCAGAAGAAGAACATCACTTACTACAATGTGCGTTCAGGACTCGGAGTCCAGGGCTGGCCAAACATAGCACAGTTATTTTCACCAGCAGCAGAATTCCTACACAAGGCCCTGAGTGACACAAAGAGTAAGAGTTGACACACACACACACACATGCAATATTCATCTGCAGTTGAAGCAGAATTATTAGCCCCCCTGAGTTATTAGCCCCCCTGTATATTCCTGTATATTCCTGTATATTCCTGTTTTTTCTGTTAACAGAAAGCAGATTTTTTCAGCACATTTCTCAACATAATAGTTCTAATAACTAAATAATTGTGACTTCAACTGTGTTGTTACTTGAATGAGTTTGTTTTGACCGTCTTTTTTTCTGCATTTCCTCAGATAAGGTGTTGCTGTACTGCAGCGAGGGCTTAAACCAGTCCGTCGTGCTTTTTATGGCATATCTGATGATCCACCAGCGCATGAAGCTGGAAGAAGCATTCGAGTTTGTGTTGGAGAGGAGACGCATGTGGATAAGCAGGGACTACTTGAACCAGCTGGTGATGTTGAATCTGGACCTCGCAAAGCTTCGCGAATTGAACGAGTGTAGACCCTGCTGCACAGACTGCTACGAAGCTATCTTACGACTTAATCTAACGTAACATGCAGTATGTAAATATGTAAATATGGTGTTGACATGTCTGTTTGTCTTCTGTTCATGAGCATTGTGAGAAAAATAAAGAAAGATTTGCTTCAATTGTGTTTCTGACCAGTTTTCAGCTGACAAAGTTCAACCAGAAGATTATGGAGACTTAATTACTGCATAATTACAAATATAGAGTATACTTACTCATGAGTAAAATAGCTTACTCAGCATTTATATACAGGTCTCATTGCGTTTAAATGAGTTAGTTTAAACTCTCAGTCTTGTAATGAGGCAATAAAACAACATTATCTCACTTTGGGTCTGGTTCTGAATTTAAAAGAACATTCTGGGTTAATTTAATCAATATCATCTGTTAAAACTATTCTGAAATGAAAATGAACAACATATTTGTAATGAGCGTGTGTTTCATGAGTACAGAAATCCTCCGAACAGTAGTTGTGTCAAGTACTTAATAACTACAGTGAGCTTCTGAAGTCATTTAGACCAGGGGTGTCCAAACTCAGTCCTGGAGGGCCACTATCCTGCATAGTTTAGTTACAATTTGTTTCGACACACCTGCCTGGAAGTTTCTATATAAAAAAAAAAAAAAAACTTTAAAAACAATTTCAGACAAATGAAGTGTTGCATATTAATATTTATCTAACTTGTTAAATCATTGTTGACAACTACTGTGAGAAATCATTAACATGATCAATGTCTTCACAAAGATCAATATTATTAATTATTAATAATAACATATAATTAAAAGTATATTAAAATGTGTTATTTAATAACTGGTAGCCCTTTACACTAATCAGTACCCAAGAAGAAGCTCTCAGTTTCCAAAAGGCTGGTGACCCCTGATTTAGCCCATATTTTATTCTCAACACATTACTAAAGAGCAGTAATGAAGCTCTTCTCCACTTCAGTTAAAATGATATTTAACAAGACATCTCACATTTTAGTCTGTTATTATTAACCTGAGCAGAGGCTTGAAGTGTTATGGACCTAATGTACGTTAATCTACCAGGGTTAATAACCCAACATCAATTAAAGCAATCTGAAACACAATTTATGAGTCAGGTCAAAGTGTATTATTATTCAGTCAGTTCACACACAGTCAGTGCGACATCACATTATCAAATTATTCTCAGAGGGAAAAATATTATTAGCATGCTGCAATATTAGCCCATCATATTATCCAACTCGGTGCACCATATTGTAGCTAGCGCTAGCTAATTCACTTTAGCAAGTTAGCAGAAAACATATATTATTACAATAATTGGGACTAAGAACGGCTGCTTTGGTGACATTTACATTAAAGAGTATCTCGTATTATAGTGTGATGTAAAACTCGCTAAATTAATCGTCTGTAATGATGTATTTTGATGACAGATGATCAGTGAATGGATGCATTTTTTAAAATGCGGGTCTCCGCCATGACGTAACTCCGTTGCTGTGGCAACCATGGAGCGCGTTCGGAATTTGAGTTCTACTGACTGTAACCGAGCGAAAAACGCCATTAGTGTGAAAATTGTCGTGTAGACTAAATGGACGCAGAGTTTCACCGTAGTGAAGAAATCCATACAGTTTGTCGACGCGTTTTTAACACAGTGTGTAAGAAAACAAATATCATGACTAACCTGATTAGAAGAAACGCCGTGATGCCGGCCTCGCTGGACGTCGAACATCTACAAGATCCAGCAGATGGCGTAGCCGGGCAGGCTCAGGCTGAGGGCGGCTTCGGCCCCTCTCCTGCTGCCGCCCGGAGCATCAGCCCTAACGGTAAATGTCGAAAAGAGCATCTTAAACACATTACTGTCACACATAAATACAAACACAGGCTCTCTGAGCTGTATAAACTTCACTACAGGGCGTCTTATATGTTTAGTTAACACATTTGAACACATATATTGACTGTAGGTTGTCTTAATGGATGATAAAATACATGTAAACGTCAATTATTCACTATATTTTGAAATATCTTTAATTAATCATGTGTATTTTTATATCTGTGAAACCCAAACTTGAACTTGTTATAGAAATGTTGATGTTTGTATAGGAATATGAATGAAGGCCCAAAAGAGGCACAGCGATAGTATTAGTTTTATTTTAAAGTATATTAAGTATAGTATTAAGTATATTAAGTATAGTATTAAGTATAGTGTTTATAAGTATGTCTGTAATGGTCTTGCCCTTGTTAGGTTTAAACATGCTAGGTCCAAACTAACACTGTACCCTTCCTTCAAAATCACAGACAGTTTCAATATAAACATTCAAACAAACAAAACTGCAGATATTGTTTTTATCAAACTACATTCAGTCACTTTTGAGGCTTTTTTGGTGAAACACTGTTATTAACAGGTGCTTATTATTATGTACATATACTCATTTCAGACATGTCTTAATAACTTGTTTCTTTGTTTTTGTCTGTTAGTAGGAAAGACCAAAGTGAAGAAGAGCAACCGTGTGTTGTCTTTCTTCAGAAGGGCATGGAAGGCTGTGAAGGCAAAGTTTCGGAGAAACAGAGAAACCAGGGACTCATCACAGCTGAATCCAGAATTACTTGATGTCCCTAATCCCAGAGATCCTGAACGCATTACCCGCCTGCAGGACCGCCTGGAAAAATGCGCTCTGAAGTGGACACCGGTCACTGAGGTCTGGCCCAACGTCTTCATAGGAAATGTGTAAGTCTGCAACACACATCACATCTGAAGCGGTCCTGAAATGAGTAACAAATGTTGTGCGGTGCATGATTTAATAAATAATGGTAATGGTTTAAAAAATAAGAGCAAATTTAAATGTCATGGTGACTTTAATACCAATTAAACAGTAATTAATAGTAATAACATACTGCAGCCTTATGAAGACAAATCAAACACAGCGCAGTTGTAGACTGTATTGGGCAATCTGAGCTACTTCATCATTTCTTTGTGCAAATTATATTGTTTTGCACACACACACATTTCAGAAACAAATGCAATATTAATTTTGATAAAAACATGCACTGCTTATTCATATTAATTAAAAATATATGCAAATGGCACATATAGGGCCTGTGTTTCCATTACAAATATTATAGAGAACATTACATTATCTACTCTCAAACATAAAATCACTTACAAAAGCGAAGACCTCTTCTAATCTCATATATAAAGCATATAAATAAATAAATAATGAGGTGATTTATTAAAAAATGAAATTTAATATTTATTATGTATCAGGAAAAAAAACATTCTACTTCATTATTATTAATAATAAAAATAAGAATATTTTATTTTATTATTTTAAAGTCTACTTTTAGATTTTGACACTTGTAAAACACTGCAGAAATGTTCTAATCATCAGGCCCATGTCATATACAGTACAGATACTTAACAAATAACCTACTCTAAATTAAAAGCATTAACGTATGCTATGTTTTTTTGTGTTCACTAGCTTTGGAGCAATAACAGTAAAAATATACTAGCTTTGGTTGTGTTCAAAATGACATCAATGTTTTCAAAGTGCACTGTGTAGGGAGCAATTGTAAACATGAAGATCGCTAAAATTGAACTGTAAAAATACTTTGAAAGCAAATTACAGCTAAGAGAGATGACCTTAATGCTTTTTTTAATAATTCCAAGTTTAAATGTTAGAATGTTCTAAATGAATAGGGCATAGGGGGGATAACTGAAAATAGAACACAGCCAGGAACGGTTTCTAGCTACAGCTCCAGAGGTGTAGTTGCAAGTGCACAAGTTTGCGACTCAGTTTGCGAATGTTCGTTGAATGACAGATTTGGGAAACGTCAAATCAACAAATGATGTTTGTAATGACACAACACTTGCGACCTTAGTTGGCTAAAGATGGTTTTCGGAAACGCACTCCTGGACAATTGTAGAGTAAGAGTGTTTTAATGAAGACTAATCAAGGCTGTTGTGTTCTTTTGCAGGAAGACGGCCAGAGACCCAGCCAGACTGGAGGAGATGAACATCACACACCTCCTGAACGCTGCACCAGAGCTGGAGAATGAAACATCCAAAAATGAATGGGAAAAGGTTTACAAAGACATGAACATCACTTCCCTCAGACTGTCTGCAGACGATGATGGATGGTTTGATGTCACCAAACACTTTTTCCCAGCGGCAGACTTCATTCATACAGCCCTGAGCAAACCACAGAGTAAGAGTTCACTTCCACACACAAACTGAACCAACATTGTGTTGTACACTGCCAAATTGTTGAGTTTGTTTTCAGCGAATGCTGGTTTGTTTTTTGGGAATTGTGAGGACATTTCATAGGTGTAAAGGTTTTTATACTGCGCATGAAACAAATACTACAGTAATTCAGGAGTACTATAGTGTATAGCAGTAAATACTGTGCTGTTTTTAAACTCTAACTATTGTAAAGTTCTTCACAGAATTAATCTGTTGTGGTGATTCTGTGGTACTACAGTAATATAAAATAATAGCTGAAACTGCTGTTACACACACACACACACACTCACACACACACACACACACACACACACACGCACACACTACAGAACTTAACGTACAATTTGTTTCTTTAAGTCATAAACGTTTATTAATAACCTCCAATAACTCTGCAGATGAGCATTTCAGTGTGTTTTATAGAAAGTGCACTTACCCAAACATTTCTGCATTTTTACAGCTCCAGTTCAATCATTTAGAGTCATTTTTATTATTAATATTCTTCCCTCGTCAGAAATGTGTGGGTTTACTATCCTTGTGGGGACAGTATTTATCTATCCATCTCTCCATCTGTCCTACAGTGCTAAATGTGCTAGCGATACGTTTGTGTTGATCTTTCTCTCTTTGTTCCTGCAGATAAGGTGTTGGTGTGCTGCCTGCAGGGCGTCAGCCGCTCCGCCACACTTTTCCTGGCACATTTGATGATACACCACAACAAAACACCAGAGGACTCCATTGATCTGGTGACACACAAGAGATTTATCAGGCCAAGCAGAGACTTCTTGAGGAAATTAACAATCCTCGCTGAGCAGCGACACTTAATTGAAAGTGACGCAGCGAAGAACAGAAGCAACTCTGCTGCCGATAAACCAGACCCTGAAGTGGAGTCAGTTGATTCAGAGGAAATGTATGTTTGTGAGCCGTACGGTCTTAAACCAGTCACGATAATTTCACACATACACGACCCTGAAGTCTACTTTAAACTGGATAAGTGTGCTTTAAAGCCCTATCCAGAACCGGTCCCAGGTCCGAGCGGTTATAGACCCGAACCTAAGACAGTTGATTCAGAGGAAATGTATGTTGTGCCGTACGGTCTTGAACCAGTCACGAAGATTTATCACATACACGACCCTGAAGTCTACTCCAAACTGGACAAGTGTGCTTTAAAGCCTGATCCAGAACCGGTCCCAGGTCCGAGTGGTTATAGACCCGAACCTAAGGCAGAAGATTCAGAGGAAATGTATGTTTGTGAGCCGTACGGTCTTAAACCAGTCACGATGATTTCACGCATACATGACCCTGAAGTCTACTCCAAACTGGACAAGTGTGCTTTAAAGCCCTATCCAGAACCGGTCCCAGGTCCGAGCGGTTATAGACCCGAACCTAAGGCCGTTGATTCAGGGGAGCTGTGTGTCTCTGACTTGAGTGGTCCTCAACCACAACCTCAAATGGAAGAGAAGATTTCACTCTTGCATTTGCATTTCACCCAAAATATTTCCAACCTGGACAAGCAACAAATGGAGAACAGGAAGAGATGGGTCTCCATCTGTAAAGTCTTCGACAACCTCTACGTTGGAAGCTGGTAAGTCTGCAACACATTCATGATGTATAGTACAAAGCCATGTGATGCTTTAATAGGGTAATGGAGACAGTGTTGGGTAGGTTACTTCAAGAGAGTGATTACTTCAGAAGCTCTCCCTGTTCCACATTGTCTATTTGACATTCCAGCCTTTGTTGCCGGAAATAAAATATATTGTGGAGCTGGATTAGTGACAAATGAATGAGTTAATTCAGCTGAATATATTGTAAGAGGTTACTTAAGATACTTAAGAGGTTTACTTTGAGTCTGTATATGTTTCTGCATTGTAAGTCCGTATAGAAAGCTGATTAAAGTTGTTTGTGATCTTGTGCAGGAAAAGGGCAATGGACAGAGTTGCACTGAAGAGGAGAGGAATTACACACGTCCTGAACACTTTACCCATTTTGGCAAATCAACATGCATTGAGGAGGGAACAGGCCAAGCTGTACGAGACAATGAACATCTCCTACCACAATGTGTTTTCAAGAGACGATGACCCGTTTGACTTTAGCTGCCATATCTACCGAGTGGCAGAACTCATGCACAAGATTCTGAGCAACCCAGAGAGTAAGAACACACACACACACACACACACACACACACACACAGTGTATTAATATCATGTTCTAGTATGTTCAATTGTTTTGTGTCTTTCTTTTCTCAGATCAGCTGCTGGTGCAGGATCAACAGGGTTGCAGGCACGCCTGCTTTTTCGTGGTGCCATATCTGATGATATACCATGGAAAAACATTGACGAAGGCCATTAGCCATATGATAAACCGTAAAAACATCAGAATGAGCAGGGACCTCCTGACGCAGCTAGTCGTCTTCGCTTGTCACCACAATCAGCAGCAACAGCCGGGTTTGATGCCGGAGTTTTCATCTATCGACATAAACCACCCTCAGACCATTTCCCAAATGTACCTTCGTATCGTCAAACCCTCCCAGTACTGGACTCCTGTCAGTGAAGTCTGGCCCAATGTCTTCATAGCTGACGAGTAAGTCTACAACACACACATATAACAGCAAAGCATACAGTCAAATAATGATGCAGGGTTTCACCCGGGCTTAATTACCACAGTCATGGAGTTTTTAAAAGATCTATTGCAGACATTAAAAGTCAGGGTAAATGTTTTTAAGTCATGTTTTATCATGTTGTTGTGGTTTGGGTATTTCTCCCTGCCATTTTATTCCGCTTGTCAACCAGCAATCAAATTCAGTCCTCAAATTCAGACTGGTAAAATACTGTCTGAGGCTGGTTTTTGTTCGCTCAGTGCTCAGTCAGTTGTTGCGTCCCAATTCGCATACTTATACTACACCCTAAAAGTATGCAAGCTTTGGGACATACTACTTCCGCGTTTCTTGGTATCGAAACTTGTACCAAATATCGATATTTTTAACTTGTAGTATCGAAAATCATATAGTAGGGTATTGATGTTTGTCAAGGTATCGTATCAAAGTCTGAAATCCCAGTATCGTGACCACACTACTTCAAACTATTTGACTACAGATTTGAGGACAGATGGAGTAAAAAAAGCACAAAATGCTGAAAACTGTTAGTTTGTGGATTTGTTTTACAACGTGGCCAAAATCTGCAAGAAAAATCTGCGTTATTAAAACAATAACAAGCTCCTGTAAACTTTGTTAAATTCAGCATTTGTAGATTTACAGAACTCCAGAGTGAGCGCTGTGTGTTCTTCATCGTGAATTCAGCTTTTCAGTCAGTGAAAGTGAAGGGAAATTGATGATGTTGTTGTGTTCTTGTGCAGGAAAACAGCGAGGAACAAAGCCAAACTGAAAAAGATGAACATCACGCACATTGTGAACGCTGTGCCGTTGTCCTTAAAGGAAGAGGAATGGAAGGACTACTACCAGAAGAAGAACATCACTTACTACAATGTGCGTTCAGGACTCGGAGTCCAGGGCTGGCCAAACATAGCACAGTTATTTTCACCAGCAGCAGAATTCCTACACAAGGCCCTGAGTGACACAAAGAGTAAGAGTTGACACACACACACACATGCAATATTCATCTGCAGTTGAAGCAGAATTATTAGCCCCCCTGAGTTATTAGCCCCCCTGTATATTCCTGTATATTCCTGTTATTTCTGTTAACAGAAAGCAGATTTTTTCAGCACATTTCTCAACATAATAGTTCTAATAACTGAATAATTGTATCTTCAGCTGTGTTGGTAGTTGAATGAGTTTGTTTTGACCGTCTTTTTTTCTGCATTTCCTCAGATAAGGTGTTGCTGTACTGCAGCGAGGGCTTAAACCAGTCCGTCGTGCTTTTTATGGCATATCTGATGATCCACCAGCGCATGAAGCTGGAAGAAGCATTTGAGTTTGTGTTGGAGAGGAGACGCATGTGGATAAGCAGGGACTACTTGAACCAGCTGGTGATGTTGAATCTGGACCTCGCAAAGCTTCGCGAATTGAACGAGTGTAGACCCTGCTGCACAGCCTGCTACGAAGCTATCTTGCAGCTTAATCTAACGTAACATGCAGTATGTAAATATGTAAATATGGTGTTGACATGTCTGTTTGTCTTCTGTTCATGAGCATTGTGAGAAAAATAAAGAAAGATTTGCTTCAATTGTGTTTCTGACCAGTTTTTCAGCTGACAAAGTTCAACCAGAAGATTATGGAGACTTAATTACTGCATAATTACAAATATAGAGTATACTTACTCATGAGTAAAATAGCTTACTCAGCATTTATATACAGGCCTCATTGCGTTTAAATGAGTTAGTTTAAACTCTCAGTCTTGTAATGAGGCAATAAAACAACATCTCACTTTGGGTCTGGTTCTGAATTTTAAAGAACATTCTGGGTTAATTTAATCAATATCATCTGTTAAAACTATTCTCAAATGAAAATGAACAACATATTTGTAATGAGCGTGTGTTTCATGAGTACAGAAATCCTCCGAACAGTAGTTTTGTCAAGTACTAAATAACTACAGTGAGCTTCTGAAGTCATTTAGACCAGGGGTGTCCAAACTCAGTCCTGGAGGGCCACTATCCTGCATAGTTCAGTTACAATTTGCTTCGACACACCTGCCTGGAAGTTTCTATTATATGTAGTGAGAGCTTGATTAGCTGCTCCAGGTGTGTTTGATTAGGGTAACTTGAAGCTAAACTCTCCAGGACACCGGCCCTCCAGGACCGAGTTTGGACACTTCTGATTTAGACTATATTAGGTTACTCAGGTCAGTCTCTCCTGTAACACTGTTTGATACATAATATGTCAATGATGCGGTATCCTTTCCAAAGTCCATATTGAGTCTTTAAAAGTAAATATTAATATCTAGAAATTTCTAAAATTTTATTACACACCGGCCACTTTATTAGGTACACTTTACTAGTACCGGGTTGGACCCCCTTTTGCCTTCAGAACTGCCTTAATCCTTCGTGCCATGGATTCAACAAGGTACTGGAAATATTCCTCAGAGATTTTGCTCCATATTGGCATGATAGCATCACACAGAACAGATTTGTCGGCTGCACGTTCATGATGCGAGTCTCCCGTTCCACAACATCCCAAAGGTACTCTATTGGATTGAGATCTGGTGACTGTGGAGGCCATTTGAGTACAGTGAGTGAACATTGTCATGTTCAAGAAAGCAGTCTGAGATGATTCACGCTTTATGACATGGAGCGTTATCCTGCTGGATGTCGCCATCAGAAGATGTAGACACTGTGATCATAAAGCGATGGACACGGTCAGCATTATCCATGCTTTCTTGTTGTGGACGCCAAACTCTGACCCTCTACCGTTGCAGCAGAAGTCGAGTCTCATCAGACCAGGCAACGTTTTCACCAATCTTCTATCTGCTTGTTAAGTGTGACTTCACACGAATCGGCTTTCAAGTCCAAGTGCAAGCAAGTCCAGAGACTGTCGTGTACACCATAATGTTATATAAAATTCACATTAAAGTGTGACATGTTTTTACGTTACTTTAACTCATTTTAATAAGTTAATTAGATTTCAACACGTTTTGTGTTACATTAACTCATTTTAATAAGTAAATCAGGTTTCAACAGATGTTTTAAAGATGTTTAGTGATAAACATGCGTCAATAGCGCCGCCATATTTGTACAGTGCTCCCATGTTAATCAACCGAAGTAGTCAAGACTTAGACAAAGCTTTGTTAAAGATGAACCGTCTTTATGGTTTAGCATCCCTTTGCATATTTTTTAAAGAATGGGAGGAATTTCTTTTCTTTTATTTTGACTTACTAAATTGCCATTTAAAGTGTTACAATATTGGAAAATGTTGTACAAGCACAATTTTACTCCACATAATGTTATCATTTGGAATAACAGGTGTATTTTACATAAGAGGAAATCATTTTTCATCAAGACTGATTTGACAAAGGAGTGTGGAATGTAATTCATTTAATGGATGATGACGGTAATATGTTGAGTTATGATCATTTTAAGTTAAAATTCAATTTTAATTGTGCATATAGAGAATTCTCTTTGGTTGTCAAAGCTATTCCTGTAGCTTTGAGGTATTTAGTTAAAGGTATAGTGCAATGCTCTTCTGTAATACCTACACTAGTTGATTTGGTTATAAATAATTATTCATTTTTGGATATTAAATGTAACAACAAGGTCTTGAGATCACTACTGACAAAAGAATATTTTCCTCTTCCTGTTAAAAGAGAGATTTTCTTATGCGGACACAATTGAAATTAGAAAAAGATACCTGTCATTTCCCTAATACCTAAAATGAAAGAAGTACAGTTGAAGTCAGAATTATTAGCCCCCCTGAATTATTACACCACTTGATCATTTTTTCCCCAATTTCTGTTTAACGGAGAGAAGATTTTTTCAACACATTTCTAAACATAATAGTTTAAATAACTCATCTCTAATAACTGATTTATTTTATCTTTGCCATAAAGACAGTAAATAATATTAGACTAGATATTTTTCAAGACACGTCTATACAGCTTAAAGGGATATTTAAAGGCTAAACTAGGTTAATTAGGTTAATTAGGCAGGTTAGGGTAATTAGGCAAGTTATTGTATAACGATGGTTTGTTCTGTAGACTTTTGAGAAAAAATATTGCTTAAAGGGGCTAATAATATTGCCCCTAAAATTGTGTTAAAAAAAATTAAAAACTGCTTTTTTCTTGCCAAAATAAAACAAAACAGACTTTCTCCAGAAGAAAATATATTATCAGACCTACTGTGAAAATTTCTTTGCTCTGTTAAACATAAATTGAAAAATATTTAAAAAAGAAGAAAAAAATTCGAAGGGGGCGAATAATTCTGACTTCAACTGTACATTTCAAAACAATTAATGACATCTATCCATGTAACGAATTTCTTAGAATAAGATTTAATTTAGACAGTAATGCTTGTATTTTCTGCTTGAAAGATATTGAATCCCAGGAACATCTTTTTTTTTTATAGTTGTTCTATTGTCAAATCCTTTCGGGACAGATTGTATGAGTGGTTGATGACAAAAAATGTAATACCTGCGTTTGACTATCACATTGTGAAATTTGGCATTTTTATGAAAAACAAGGAAACTGAATTTCTGTGTAATAATATGTTGATTGTAGCAAAACTTTACATCCACTAATGTAGATTTGTTAAAGTTTCTCCTTGTTTTAAAGCATTTAAAATGATTTCAATATTTTATATAAATCTATAAAACAGGTAAAAACAAAAGGTGCCTTAAAGCTCTCTAAGCTTTTGTCAACTTGTATGGACTGACCCAGCTGAAGGTAATGCATTTCCTTTTATATTATTTAAGGTTTATTCATGTTATTATTAGTTTGTACTGTTTTGTTTATTATATGCTGCTTGCATATAATGTTATATATGCTTAACAATGGAAGTTGAAAATGCCTGTTTGTTATTTTAAGTTTAAATAAAAATAATAAAAAAATAAAAAATAAATAAATAAATAAATAAAAAATAGTCAAGACTTAGTTGACTAGTCAAGGCACCAGAGTGAACAAAAGTCAACCGAACGCAGAGACTGAGGAAAACACAACCCAAAACCAGCCCTGTGTGAAAAGTGTTTGGCTCTAAACAGAACAACTGGTTGGGTTAAGCTCAGTCAAGCATTTTCAAGCAAGGTATAATTATAATTTAGACCATATTTAATTCTCAACACATTTGTATAGGTATTCTTTTTAAATCACACTTGCATAGGTGTAAATTTGAAAATTACTTTAAGTTATATACTGTGTAAAAAAAAACTTTAAAAACAATTTCAGACAAATGAAGTGTTGCATATTAATATTTATCTAACTTGTTAAATCAATATTGACAACTACTGTGAGAAATCATTAACATGATCAATGTCTTCACAAAGATCAATATTATTATTATTAATAATAACAAATAATTAAAAGGAAATTAAGAAAAATGTGTAATTTAATAACTGGTAGCCCTTTACACTAATCAGTACCCAAGAAGTAGCTCTCAGTTTCCAAAAGGCTGGTGACCAATGATTTAGACCATATTTTATTCTCAACACATCACTAAAGAGCAGTAATGAAGCTCTTCTCCACTTCAGTTAAAATGATATTTAACAAGACATCTCACATTTTAGTCTGTTATTATTAACCTGAGCAGAGGCTTGAAATGTTATGGACCTAATGTACGTTAATCTACCAGAATTAATAACCCAACATCAATTAAAGCAATCTGAAACACGAGTCAGGTAAAAGTGTATTATTATTCAGTCAGTTCACACACAGTCAGTGCGACATCACATTATCAAATAATTCTCAGAGGGAAAAATATTATTAGCATGCTGCAATATTAGCCTATCATATTATCCAGCTCGGTGCACCATATTGTAGCTAGCGCTAGCTAATTCACTTTAGCAAGTTAGCAGAAAACATATATTAAAACTCGCTAAATTAATCGTCTGTAATGATGTATTTTGATGACAGATCGATCAGTGAATGGATGCATTTTTTAAAATGCGGGTCTCCGCCATGACGTAACTCCGTTGCTGTGGCAACCATGGAGCGCGTTCGGAATTTGAGTTCTACTGACTGTAACCGAGCGAAAAACGCCATTAGTGTGAAAATTGTCGTGTAGACTAAATGGACGCAGAGTTTCACCGTAGTGAAGAAATCCATAAAGTTTGTCGACGCGTTTTTAACACAGTGTGTAAGAAAACAAATATCATGACTAACCTAATTAGAAGAAACGTCGTGATGCCGGCCTCGCTGGACGTCGAACATCTACAAGATCCAGCAGATGGCGTAGCCGGGCAGGCTCAGGCTGAGGGCGGCTTCGGCCCCTCTCCTGCTGCCGCCCGGAGCATCAGCCCTAACGGTAAATGTCGAAAAGAGCATCTTAAACACATTACTGTCACACATAAATACAAACACAGGCTCTCTGAGCTGTATAAACTTCACTACAGGGCGTCTTATATGTTTAGTTAACACATTTGAACACATATATAGACTGTAGGTCTTCTTAATGGATGATAAAATACATGCAAACGTCAATTATTCACTATATTTTGAAATATCTTTATTTAATCATGTGTATTTTTATATCTGTGAAACCCAAACTTGAACTTGTTATAGCAAATTTTTATGTTTTCTATAAGAATATGAATGAAGGCCCAAAAGAGTCACAGCGATAGTACTAGTTTTATTTTAAAGTATATTAAGTATAGTATTAAGTATAGTATTAAGTATAGTGTTTATAAGTATGTCTGTAATGGTCTTGCCCTTGTTAGGTTTAAACATGCTAGGTCCAAACTAACACTGTACCCTTCCTTCAAAATCACAGACAGTTTCAATATAAACATTCAAACAAACAAAACTGCAGATATTGTTTTTATCAAACTACATTCAGTCACTTTTGAGGCTTTTTTGGTGAAACACTGTTATTAACAGGTGCTTATTATTCTGTACATATACTCATTTCAGACATGTCTTAATAACTTGTTTCTTTGTTTTTGTCTGTTAGTAGGAAAGACCAAAGTGAAGAAGAGCAACCGTGTGTTGTCTTTCTTCAGAAGGGCATGGAAGGCTGTGAAGGCAAAGTTTCGGAGAAACAGAGAAACCAGGGACTCATCACAGCTGAATCCAGAATTACTTGATGTCCCTAATCCCAGAGATCCTGAACGCATTACCCGCCTGCAGGACCGCCTGGAAAAATGCGCTCTGAAGTGGACACCGGTCACTGAGGTCTGGCCCAACGTCTTCATAGGAAATGTGTAAGTCTGCAACACACATCACATCTGAAGCGGTCCTGAAATGAGTAACAAATGTTGTGCGGTGCATGATTTAATAAATAATGGTAATGGTTTAAAAAATAAGAGCAAATTTAAATGTCATGGTGACTTTAATACCAATTAAAGAGTAATTAATAGTAATAATATACTGCAGCCTTATGAAGACAAATCAAACACAGCGCAGTTGTAGACTGTATTGGGCAATCTGAGCTACTTCATCATTTCTTTGTGCAAATTATATTGTTTTGCACACACACACATTTCAGAAACAAATGCAATATTAATTTTGATAAAAACATGCACTGCTTATTCATATTAATTGAAAATATATGCAAATGGCACATATAGGGCCTGTGTTTCCATTACAAATATTATAGAGAACATTACATTATCTACTCTCAAACATAAAATCATTTACAAAAGCGAAGACCTCTTCTAATCTCATATATAAATCATATAAATAAATAAATAATGAGGTGATTTATTAAGAAATGAAATTTAATATTTATTATGTATCAGGAAAAAAAACATTCTACTTCATTATTATTAATAATAAAAATAAGAATATTTTTTATTTTATTATTTTAAAGTCTACTTTTAGATTTTGACACTTGTAAAACACTGCAGAAATGTTCTAACCATCAGGCCCATGTCAAATACAGTAAAGATACTTAACAAATAACCTACTCTAAATTAAAAGCGTTAACGTATGCTATGTTTTTTTTTGTTTTCACTAGCTTTGGAGCATTAACAGTAAAAATATACTAGCTTTGGTTGTGTTCAAAATGACATCAATGTTTTCAAAGTGCACTGTGAAGGGAGCAATTGTAAACATGAAGATCGCTAAAACTGAACTGTAAAAATACTTTGAAAGCAAATTACAGCTAAGAGGGATGACCTTAATGCTTTTTTTAATAATTCCAAGTTTAAATGTTAGAATGTTCTAAATGAATAGGGCATAGGGGGGATAACTGAAAATAGAACACAGCCAGGAACGGTTTCTAGCTACAGCTCCAGAGGTGTAGTTGCAAGTGCACAAGTTTGCGACTCAGTTTGCGAATGTTCGTTGAATGACAGATTTGGGAAACGTCAAATCAACAAATGATGTTTGTAATGACACACTTGCGACCTTAGTTGGCTAAAGATGGTTTTCGGAAACGCACCCCTGGACAATTGTAGAGTAAGAGTGTTTTAATGAAGACTAATCAAGGCTGTTGTGTTCTTTTGCAGGAAGACGGCCAGAGACCCAGCCAGACTGGAGGAGATGAACATCACACACCTCCTGAACGCTGCACCAGAGCTGGAGAATGAAACATCCAAAAATGAATGGGAAAAGGTTTACAAAGACATGAACATCACTTCCCTCAGACTGTCTGCAGACGATGATGGATGGTTTGATGTCACCAAACACTTTTTCCCAGCGGCAGACTTCATTCATACAGCCCTGAGCAAACCACAGAGTAAGAGTTCACTTCCACACACAAACTGAACCAACATTGTGTTGTACACTGCCAAATTGTTGAGTTTGTTTTCAGCGAATGCTGGTTTGTTTTTTGGGAATTGTGAGGACATTTCATAGGTGTAAAGGTTTTTATACTGCGCATGAAACAAATACTACAGTAATTCAGGAGTACTATAGTGTATAGCAGTAAATACTGTGCTGTTTTTAAACTCTAACTATTGTAAAGTTCTTCACAGAATTAATCTGTTGTGGTGATTCTGTGGTACTACAGTAATATAAAATAATAGCTGAAACTGCTGTTACACACACACACACACACACACACACACACACTCCAGATGAGTATTTCAGTATGTTTTATAGAAAGTGCACTTACCCAAACATTTCTGCATTTTTACAGCTCCAGTTCAATCATTTAGAGTCATTTTTATGTCTGGGTTTACTATCCTTGTGGGGACAGTATTTATCTATCCATCTCTCCATCTGTCCTACAGTGCTAAATGTGCTAGCGATACGTTTGTGTTGATCTTTCTCTCTTTGTTCCTGCAGATAAGGTGTTGGTGTGCTGCCTGCAGGGCGTCAGCCGCTCCGCCACACTTTTCCTGGCACATTTGATGATACACCACAACAAAACACCAGAGGACTCCATTGATCTGGTGACACACAAGAGATTTATCAGGCCAAGCAGAGACTTCTTGAGGAAATTAACAATCCTCGCTGAGCAGCGACACTTAATTGAAAGTGACGCAGCGAAGAACAGAAGCAACTCTGCTGCCGATAAACCAGACCCTGAAGTGGAGTCAGTTGATTCAGAGGAAATGTATGTTTGTGAGCCGTACGGTCTTGAACCAGTCACGATGATTTCACACATACACGACCCTGAAGCCTGCTCCAAACTAGACAATCTAGAACCGGTTCCAGGTCCGAGCGGTTATAGATCCGAACCTAAGGCAGTTGATTCAGAGGAAATGTATGTTTGTGAGCCGTACGGTCTTAAACCAGTCACGATGATTTCACACATACACGACCCTAAAGTCTACTTTAAACTGGATAAGTGTGCTTTAAAGCCCTATCTAGAACCGGTTCCAGGTCCGAGCAGTTATAGACCCGAACCTAAGACAGTTGATTCAGAGGAAATGTATGTTGTGCCGTACGGTCTTGAACCAGTCACGAAGATTTATCACATACACGACCCTGAAGTCTACTTTAAACTGGATAAGTGTGCTTTAAAGCCTGATCCAGAACCGGTCCCAGGTCCGAGCGGTTATAAACCCGAACCTAAGGCAGAAGATTCTGAGGAAATGTATGTTTGTGAGCCGTACGGTCTTAAACCAGTCACGATGATTTCACGCATACATGACCCTGAAGTCTACTTCAAACTGGATAAGTGTGCTTTAAAGCCAGATCCAGAAGCGGTCCCAGGTCCGAGCGGTTATATACCCGAACCTAAGGCCGTTGATTCAGGGGAGCTGTGTGTCTCTGACTTGAGTGGTCCTCAACCACAACCTCAAATGGAAGAGAAGATTTCACTCTTGCATTTGCATTTCACCCAAAATATTTCCAACCTGGACAAGCAACAAATGGAGAGCAGGAAGAGATGGGTCTCCATCTGTAAAGTCTTCGACAACCTCTACGTTGGAAGCTGGTAAGTCTGCAACACATTCATGATGTATAGTTCAAAGCCATGTGATGCTTTAATAGGGTAATGGAGACAGTGTTGGGTAGGTTACTTCAAGAGAGTGATTACTTCAGAAGCTCTCCCTGTTCCACATTGTCTATTTGACATTCCAGCCTTTGTTGCCGGAAATAAAATATATTGTGGAGCTGGATTAGTGACAAATGAATGAGTTAATTCAGCTGAATATATTGTAAGAGGTTACTTAAGATACTTAAGAGGTTTCCTTTGAGTCTGTATATGTTTCTGCATTGTAAGTCCGTATAGAAAGCTGATTAAAGTTGTTTGTGATCTTGTGCAGGAAAAGGGCAATGGACAGAGTTGCACTGAAGAGGAGAGGAATTACACACGTCCTGAACACTTTACCCATTTTGGCAAATCAAGATGCATTGAGGAGGGAACAGGCCAAGCTGTACGAGACAATGAACATCTCCTACCACAACGTGTTTTCAAGAGACGATGACCCGTTTGACTTTAGCTGCCATATCTACCGAGTGGCAGAACTCATGCACAAGATTCTGAGCAACCCAGAGAGTAAGAACACACACACACACACACACACACACACAGTGTATTAATATCATGTTCTAGTGTGTTCAATTGTTTTGTGTCTTTCTTTTCTCAGATCAGCTGCTGGTGCAGGATCAACAGGGTTGCAGGCACGCCTGCTTTTTCGTGGTGCCATATCTGATGATATACCATGGAAAAACATTGACGAAGGCCATTAGCCATATGATAAACCGTAAAAACATCAGAATGAGCAGGGACCTCCTGACGCAGCTAGTCGTCTTCGCTTGTCACCACAATCAGCAGCAACAGCCGGGTTTGATGCCGGAGTTTTCATCTATCGACATAAACCACCCTCAGACCATTTCCCAAATGTACCTTCGTATCGTCAAACCCTCCCAGTACTGGACTCCTGTCAGTGAAGTCTGGCCCAATGTCTTCATAGCTGACGAGTAAGTCTACAACACACATATAACAGCAAAGCATACAGTCAAATAATGATGCAGGGTTTCACCCGGGCTTAATTCCCACAGTCATGGAGTTTTTAAAAGATCTATTGCAGACATTAAAAGTCAGGGTAAATGTTTTTAAGTCATGTTTTATCATGTTGTTGTGGTTAGGGTATTTCTCCCTGCCATTTTATTCCGCTTGTCAACCAGCAATCAAATTCAGGCTGGTAAAATACTGTCTGAGGCTGGTTTTTGTTCGCTCAGTGCTCAGTCAGTTGTTGCGTCCCAATTCGCATACTTATACTACACCCTAAAAGTATGCAAGCTTTGGGACATACTACTTCCGCGTTTCTTGGTATCGAAACTTGTACCAAATATCGATATTTTTAACTTGTAGTATCGAAAATCATATAGTAGGGTATTGATGTTTGTCAAGGTATCGTATCAAAGTCTGAAATCCCAGTATCGTGACCACACTACTTCAAACTATTTGACTACAGATTTGAGGACAGATGGAGTAAAAAAAGCACAAAATGCTGAAAACTGTTAGTTTGTGGATTTGTTTTACAACGTGGCCAAAATCTGCAAGAAAAATCTGCGTTATTAAAACAATAACAAGCTCCTGTAAACTTTGTTAAATTCAGCATTTGTAGATTTACAGAACTCCAGAGTGAGCGCTGTGTGTTCTTCATCGTGAATTCAGCTTTTCAGTCAGTGAAAGTGAAGGGAAATTGATGATGTTGTTGTGTTCTTGTGCAGGAAAACAGCGAGGAACAAAGCCAAACTGAAAAAGATGAACATCACGCACATTGTGAACGCTGTGCCGTTGTCCTTAAAGGAAGAGGAATGGAAGGACTACTACCAGAAGAAGAACATCACTTACTACAATGTGCGTTCAGGACTCGGAGTCCAGGGCTGGCCAAACATAGCACAGTTATTTTCACCAGCAGCAGAATTCCTACACAAGGCCCTGAGTGACACAAAGAGTAAGAGTTGACACACACACACACATGCAATATTCATCTGCAGTTGAAGCAGAATTATTAGCCCCCCTGAGTTATTAGCCCCCCTGTATATTCCTGTATATTCCTGTTATTTCTGTTAACAGAAAGCAGATTTTTTCAGCACATTTCTCAACATAATAGTTCTAATAACTGAATAATTGTATCTTCAGCTGTGTTGGTAGTTGAATGAGTTTGTTTTGACCGTCTTTTTTTCTGCATTTCCTCAGATAAGGTGTTGCTGTACTGCAGCGAGGGCTTAAACCAGTCCGTCGTGCTTTTTATGGCATATCTGATGATCCACCAGCGCATGAAGCTGGAAGAAGCATTTGAGTTTGTGTTGGAGAGGAGACGCATGTGGATAAGCAGGGACTACTTGAACCAGCTGGTGATGTTGAATCTGGACCTCGCAAAGCTTCGCGAATTGAACGAGTGTAGACCCTGCTGCACAGCCTGCTACGAAGCTATCTTGCAGCTTAATCTAACGTAACATGCAGTATGTAAATATGTAAATATGGTGTTGACATGTCTGTTTGTCTTCTGTTCATGAGCATTGTGAGAAAAATAAAGAAAGATTTGCTTCAATTGTGTTTCTGACCAGTTTTTCAGCTGACAAAGTTCAACCAGAAGATTATGGAGACTTAATTACTGCATAATTACAAATATAGAGTATACTTACTCATGAGTAAAATAGCTTACTCAGCATTTATATACAGGCCTCATTGCGTTTAAATGAGTTAGTTTAAACTCTCAGTCTTGTAATGAGGCAATAAAACAACATCTCACTTTGGGTCTGGTTCTGAATTTTAAAGAACATTCTGGGTTAATTTAATCAATATCATCTGTTAAAACTATTCTCAAATGAAAATGAACAACATATTTGTAATGAGCGTGTGTTTCATGAGTACAGAAATCCTCCGAACAGTAGTTTTGTCAAGTACTAAATAACTACAGTGAGCTTCTGAAGTCATTTAGACCAGGGGTGTCCAAACTCAGTCCTGGAGGGCCACTATCCTGCATAGTTCAGTTACAATTTGCTTCGACACACCTGCCTGGAAGTTTCTATTATATGTAGTGAGAGCTTGATTAGCTGCTCCAGGTGTGTTTGATTAGGGTAACTTGAAGCTAAACTCTCCAGGACACCGGCCCTCCAGGACCGAGTTTGGACACTTCTGATTTAGACTATATTAGGTTACTCAGGTCAGTCTCTCCTGTAACACTGTTTGATACATAATATGTCAATGATGCGGTATCCTTTCCAAAGTCCATATTGAGTCTTTAAAAGTAAATATTAATATCTAGAAATTTCTAAAATTTTATTACACACCGGCCACTTTATTAGGTACACTTTACTAGTACCGGGTTGGACCCCCTTTTGCCTTCAGAACTGCCTTAATCCTTCGTGCCATGGATTCAACAAGGTACTGGAAATATTCCTCAGAGATTTTGCTCCATATTGGCATGATAGCATCACACAGAACAGATTTGTCGGCTGCACGTTCATGATGCGAGTCTCCCGTTCCACAACATCCCAAAGGTACTCTATTGGATTGAGATCTGGTGACTGTGGAGGCCATTTGAGTACAGTGAGTGAACATTGTCATGTTCAAGAAAGCAGTCTGAGATGATTCACGCTTTATGACATGGAGCGTTATCCTGCTGGATGTCGCCATCAGAAGATGTAGACACTGTGATCATAAAGCGATGGACACGGTCAGCATTATCCATGCTTTCTTGTTGTGGACGCCAAACTCTGACCCTCTACCGTTGCAGCAGAAGTCGAGTCTCATCAGACCAGGCAACGTTTTCACCAATCTTCTATCTGCTTGTTAAGTGTGACTTCACACGAATCGGCTTTCAAGTCCAAGTGCAAGCAAGTCCAGAGACTGTCGTGTACACCATAATGTTATATAAAATTCACATTAAAGTGTGACATGTTTTTACGTTACTTTAACTCATTTTAATAAGTTAATTAGATTTCAACACGTTTTGTGTTACATTAACTCATTTTAATAAGTAAATCAGGTTTCAACAGATGTTTTAAAGATGTTTAGTGATAAACATGCGTCAATAGCGCCGCCATATTTGTACAGTGCTCCCATGTTAATCAACCGAAGTAGTCAAGACTTAGACAAAGCTTTGTTAAAGATGAACCGTCTTTATGGTTTAGCATCCCTTTGCATATTTTTTAAAGAATGGGAGGAATTTCTTTTCTTTTATTTTGACTTACTAAATTGCCATTTAAAGTGTTACAATATTGGAAAATGTTGTACAAGCACAATTTTACTCCACATAATGTTATCATTTGGAATAACAGGTGTATTTTACATAAGAGGAAATCATTTTTCATCAAGACTGATTTGACAAAGGAGTGTGGAATGTAATTCATTTAATGGATGATGACGGTAATATGTTGAGTTATGATCATTTTAAGTTAAAATTCAATTTTAATTGTGCATATAGAGAATTCTCTTTGGTTGTCAAAGCTATTCCTGTAGCTTTGAGGTATTTAGTTAAAGGTATAGTGCAATGCTCTTCTGTAATACCTACACTAGTTGATTTGGTTATAAATAATTATTCATTTTTGGATATTAAATGTAACAACAAGGTCTTGAGATCACTACTGACAAAAGAATATTTTCCTCTTCCTGTTAAAAGAGAGATTTTCTTATGCGGACACAATTGAAATTAGAAAAAGATACCTGTCATTTCCCTAATACCTAAAATGAAAGAAGTACAGTTGAAGTCAGAATTATTAGCCCCCCTGAATTATTACACCACTTGATCATTTTTTCCCCAATTTCTGTTTAACGGAGAGAAGATTTTTTCAACACATTTCTAAACATAATAGTTTAAATAACTCATCTCTAATAACTGATTTATTTTATCTTTGCCATAAAGACAGTAAATAATATTAGACTAGATATTTTTCAAGACACGTCTATACAGCTTAAAGGGATATTTAAAGGCTAAACTAGGTTAATTAGGTTAATTAGGCAGGTTAGGGTAATTAGGCAAGTTATTGTATAACGATGGTTTGTTCTGTAGACTTTTGAGAAAAAATATTGCTTAAAGGGGCTAATAATATTGCCCCTAAAATTGTGTTAAAAAAAATTAAAAACTGCTTTTTTCTTGCCAAAATAAAACAAAACAGACTTTCTCCAGAAGAAAATATATTATCAGACCTACTGTGAAAATTTCTTTGCTCTGTTAAACATAAATTGAAAAATATTTAAAAAAGAAGAAAAAAATTCGAAGGGGGCGAATAATTCTGACTTCAACTGTACATTTCAAAACAATTAATGACATCTATCCATGTAACGAATTTCTTAGAATAAGATTTAATTTAGACAGTAATGCTTGTATTTTCTGCTTGAAAGATATTGAATCCCAGGAACATCTTTTTTTTTTATAGTTGTTCTATTGTCAAATCCTTTCGGGACAGATTGTATGAGTGGTTGATGACAAAAAATGTAATACCTGCGTTTGACTATCACATTGTGAAATTTGGCATTTTTATGAAAAACAAGGAAACTGAATTTCTGTGTAATAATATGTTGATTGTAGCAAAACTTTACATCCACTAATGTAGATTTGTTAAAGTTTCTCCTTGTTTTAAAGCATTTAAAATGATTTCAATATTTTATATAAATCTATAAAACAGGTAAAAACAAAAGGTGCCTTAAAGCTCTCTAAGCTTTTGTCAACTTGTATGGACTGACCCAGCTGAAGGTAATGCATTTCCTTTTATATTATTTAAGGTTTATTCATGTTATTATTAGTTTGTACTGTTTTGTTTATTATATGCTGCTTGCATATAATGTTATATATGCTTAACAATGGAAGTTGAAAATGCCTGTTTGTTATTTTAAGTTTAAATAAAAATAATAAAAAAATAAAAAATAAATAAATAAATAAATAAAAAATAGTCAAGACTTAGTTGACTAGTCAAGGCACCAGAGTGAACAAAAGTCAACCGAACGCAGAGACTGAGGAAAACACAACCCAAAACCAGCCCTGTGTGAAAAGTGTTTGGCTCTAAACAGAACAACTGGTTGGGTTAAGCTCAGTCAAGCATTTTCAAGCAAGGTATAATTATAATTTAGACCATATTTAATTCTCAACACATTTGTATAGGTATTCTTTTTAAATCACACTTGCATAGGTGTAAATTTGAAAATTACTTTAAGTTATATACTGTGTAAAAAAAAACTTTAAAAACAATTTCAGACAAATGAAGTGTTGCATATTAATATTTATCTAACTTGTTAAATCAATATTGACAACTACTGTGAGAAATCATTAACATGATCAATGTCTTCACAAAGATCAATATTATTATTATTAATAATAACAAATAATTAAAAGGAAATTAAGAAAAATGTGTAATTTAATAACTGGTAGCCCTTTACACTAATCAGTACCCAAGAAGTAGCTCTCAGTTTCCAAAAGGCTGGTGACCAATGATTTAGACCATATTTTATTCTCAACACATCACTAAAGAGCAGTAATGAAGCTCTTCTCCACTTCAGTTAAAATGATATTTAACAAGACATCTCACATTTTAGTCTGTTATTATTAACCTGAGCAGAGGCTTGAAATGTTATGGACCTAATGTACGTTAATCTACCAGAATTAATAACCCAACATCAATTAAAGCAATCTGAAACACGAGTCAGGTAAAAGTGTATTATTATTCAGTCAGTTCACACACAGTCAGTGCGACATCACATTATCAAATAATTCTCAGAGGGAAAAATATTATTAGCATGCTGCAATATTAGCCTATCATATTATCCAGCTCGGTGCACCATATTGTAGCTAGCGCTAGCTAATTCACTTTAGCAAGTTAGCAGAAAACATATATTAAAACTCGCTAAATTAATCGTCTGTAATGATGTATTTTGATGACAGATCGATCAGTGAATGGATGCATTTTTTAAAATGCGGGTCTCCGCCATGACGTAACTCCGTTGCTGTGGCAACCATGGAGCGCGTTCGGAATTTGAGTTCTACTGACTGTAACCGAGCGAAAAACGCCATTAGTGTGAAAATTGTCGTGTAGACTAAATGGACGCAGAGTTTCACCGTAGTGAAGAAATCCATAAAGTTTGTCGACGCGTTTTTAACACAGTGTGTAAGAAAACAAATATCATGACTAACCTAATTAGAAGAAACGTCGTGATGCCGGCCTCGCTGGACGTCGAACATCTACAAGATCCAGCAGATGGCGTAGCCGGGCAGGCTCAGGCTGAGGGCGGCTTCGGCCCCTCTCCTGCTGCCGCCCGGAGCATCAGCCCTAACGGTAAATGTCGAAAAGAGCATCTTAAACACATTACTGTCACACATAAATACAAACACAGGCTCTCTGAGCTGTATAAACTTCACTACAGGGCGTCTTATATGTTTAGTTAACACATTTGAACACATATATAGACTGTAGGTCTTCTTAATGGATGATAAAATACATGCAAACGTCAATTATTCACTATATTTTGAAATATCTTTATTTAATCATGTGTATTTTTATATCTGTGAAACCCAAACTTGAACTTGTTATAGCAAATTTTTATGTTTTCTATAAGAATATGAATGAAGGCCCAAAAGAGTCACAGCGATAGTACTAGTTTTATTTTAAAGTATATTAAGTATAGTATTAAGTATAGTATTAAGTATAGTGTTTATAAGTATGTCTGTAATGGTCTTGCCCTTGTTAGGTTTAAACATGCTAGGTCCAAACTAACACTGTACCCTTCCTTCAAAATCACAGACAGTTTCAATATAAACATTCAAACAAACAAAACTGCAGATATTGTTTTTATCAAACTACATTCAGTCACTTTTGAGGCTTTTTTGGTGAAACACTGTTATTAACAGGTGCTTATTATTCTGTACATATACTCATTTCAGACATGTCTTAATAACTTGTTTCTTTGTTTTTGTCTGTTAGTAGGAAAGACCAAAGTGAAGAAGAGCAACCGTGTGTTGTCTTTCTTCAGAAGGGCATGGAAGGCTGTGAAGGCAAAGTTTCGGAGAAACAGAGAAACCAGGGACTCATCACAGCTGAATCCAGAATTACTTGATGTCCCTAATCCCAGAGATCCTGAACGCATTACCCGCCTGCAGGACCGCCTGGAAAAATGCGCTCTGAAGTGGACACCGGTCACTGAGGTCTGGCCCAACGTCTTCATAGGAAATGTGTAAGTCTGCAACACACATCACATCTGAAGCGGTCCTGAAATGAGTAACAAATGTTGTGCGGTGCATGATTTAATAAATAATGGTAATGGTTTAAAAAATAAGAGCAAATTTAAATGTCATGGTGACTTTAATACCAATTAAAGAGTAATTAATAGTAATAATATACTGCAGCCTTATGAAGACAAATCAAACACAGCGCAGTTGTAGACTGTATTGGGCAATCTGAGCTACTTCATCATTTCTTTGTGCAAATTATATTGTTTTGCACACACACACATTTCAGAAACAAATGCAATATTAATTTTGATAAAAACATGCACTGCTTATTCATATTAATTGAAAATATATGCAAATGGCACATATAGGGCCTGTGTTTCCATTACAAATATTATAGAGAACATTACATTATCTACTCTCAAACATAAAATCATTTACAAAAGCGAAGACCTCTTCTAATCTCATATATAAATCATATAAATAAATAAATAATGAGGTGATTTATTAAGAAATGAAATTTAATATTTATTATGTATCAGGAAAAAAAACATTCTACTTCATTATTATTAATAATAAAAATAAGAATATTTTTTATTTTATTATTTTAAAGTCTACTTTTAGATTTTGACACTTGTAAAACACTGCAGAAATGTTCTAACCATCAGGCCCATGTCAAATACAGTAAAGATACTTAACAAATAACCTACTCTAAATTAAAAGCGTTAACGTATGCTATGTTTTTTTTTGTTTTCACTAGCTTTGGAGCATTAACAGTAAAAATATACTAGCTTTGGTTGTGTTCAAAATGACATCAATGTTTTCAAAGTGCACTGTGAAGGGAGCAATTGTAAACATGAAGATCGCTAAAACTGAACTGTAAAAATACTTTGAAAGCAAATTACAGCTAAGAGGGATGACCTTAATGCTTTTTTTAATAATTCCAAGTTTAAATGTTAGAATGTTCTAAATGAATAGGGCATAGGGGGGATAACTGAAAATAGAACACAGCCAGGAACGGTTTCTAGCTACAGCTCCAGAGGTGTAGTTGCAAGTGCACAAGTTTGCGACTCAGTTTGCGAATGTTCGTTGAATGACAGATTTGGGAAACGTCAAATCAACAAATGATGTTTGTAATGACACACTTGCGACCTTAGTTGGCTAAAGATGGTTTTCGGAAACGCACCCCTGGACAATTGTAGAGTAAGAGTGTTTTAATGAAGACTAATCAAGGCTGTTGTGTTCTTTTGCAGGAAGACGGCCAGAGACCCAGCCAGACTGGAGGAGATGAACATCACACACCTCCTGAACGCTGCACCAGAGCTGGAGAATGAAACATCCAAAAATGAATGGGAAAAGGTTTACAAAGACATGAACATCACTTCCCTCAGACTGTCTGCAGACGATGATGGATGGTTTGATGTCACCAAACACTTTTTCCCAGCGGCAGACTTCATTCATACAGCCCTGAGCAAACCACAGAGTAAGAGTTCACTTCCACACACAAACTGAACCAACATTGTGTTGTACACTGCCAAATTGTTGAGTTTGTTTTCAGCGAATGCTGGTTTGTTTTTTGGGAATTGTGAGGACATTTCATAGGTGTAAAGGTTTTTATACTGCGCATGAAACAAATACTACAGTAATTCAGGAGTACTATAGTGTATAGCAGTAAATACTGTGCTGTTTTTAAACTCTAACTATTGTAAAGTTCTTCACAGAATTAATCTGTTGTGGTGATTCTGTGGTACTACAGTAATATAAAATAATAGCTGAAACTGCTGTTACACACACACACACACACACACACACACACACACACACACACACACACACACACACACACACACACTACAGAACTTAACGTACAATTTGTTTCTTTAAGTCTTAAAAGTTTATTAATAACCTCCAATAACTGCAGATGAGTATTTCAGTGTGTTTTATAGAAAGTGCACTTACCCAAACATTTCTGCATTTTTACAGCTCCAGTTCAATCATTTAGAGTCATTTTTATTATTAATATTCTTCCCTCGTCAGAAATGTGTGGGTTTACTATCCTTGTGGGGACAGTATTTATCTATCCATCTCTCCATCTGTCCTACAGTGCTAAATGTGCTAGCGATACGTTTGTGTTGATCTTTCTCTCTTTGTTCCTGCAGATAAGGTGTTGGTGTGCTGCCTGCAGGGCGTCAGCCGCTCCGCCACACTTTTCCTGGCACATTTGATGATACACCACAACAAAACACCAGAGGACTCCATTGATCTGGTGACACACAAGAGATTTATCAGGCCAAGCAGAGACTTCTTGAGGAAATTAACAATCCTCGCTGAGCAGCGACACTTAATTGAAAGTGACGCAGCGAAGAACAGAAGCAACTCTGCTGCCGATAAACCAGACCCTGAAGTGGAGTCAGTTGATTCAGAGGAAATGTATGTTTGTGAGCCGTACGGTCTTAAACCAGTCACGAAGATTTCACACATACACGACCCTGAAGCCTGCTCCAAACTAGACAATCTAGAACCGGTTCCAGGTCCGAGCGGTTATAGACCCGAACCTAAGGCAGTTGATTCAGAGGAAATGTATGTTGAGCCGTACGGTCTTGAACCAGTCACGAAGATTTATCACATACACCACCCTGAAGTCTACTCCAAACTGGATAAGTGTGCTTTAAAGCCCTATCCAGAACCGGTTCCAGGTCCGAGCGGTTATAAACCCGAACCTAAGGCCGTTGATTCAGAGGAAATGTATGTTGTGCCGTACGGTCTTGAACCAGTCACGATGATTTCACACATACACGACCCTGAAGTCTACTTTAAACTGGATAAGTGTGCTTTAAAGCCCTATCCAGAACCGGTCCCAGGTCCGAGCGGTTATAAACCCGAACCTAAGGCAGTTGATTCAGAGGAAATGTATGTTTGTGAGCCGTACGGTCTTGAACCAGTCACGATGATTTCACACATACACGACCCTGAAGTCTACTTTAAACTGGATAAGTGTGCTTTAAAGCCAGATCCAGAACCGGTCCCAGGTCCGAGCGGTTATATACCCGAACCTAAGGCCGTTGATTCAGAGGAAATGTATGTTGTGCCGTACGGTCTTGAACCAGTCACGATGATTTCACGCATACATGACCCTGAAGTCTACTCCAAACTGGACAAGTGTGCTTTAAAGCCCTATCCAGAACCGGTCCCAGGTCCGAGCGGTTATATACCCGAACCTAAGGCCGTTGATTCAGGGGAGCTGTGTGTCTCTGACTTGAGTGGTCCTCAACCACAACCTCAAATGGAAGAGAAGATTTCACTCTTGCATTTGCATTTCACCCAAAATATTTCCAACCTGGACAAGCAACAAATGGAGAGCAGGAAGAGATGGGTCTCCATCTGTAAAGTCTTCGACAACCTCTACGTTGGAAGCTGGTAAGTCTGCAACACATTCATGATGTATAGTACAAAGCCATGTGATGCTTTAATAGGGTAATGGAGACAGTGTTGGGTAGGTTACTTCAAGAGAGTGATTACTTCAGAAGCTCTCCCTGTTCCACATTGTCTATTTGACATTCCAGCCTTTGTTGCCGGAAATAAAATATATTGTGGAGCTGGATTAGTGACAAATGAATGAGTTAATTCAGCTGAATATATTGTAAGAGGTTACTTAAGATACTTAAGAGGTTTCCTTTGAGTCTGTATATGTTTCTGCATTGTAAGTCCGTATAGAAAGCTGATTAAAGTTGTTTGTGATCTTGTGCAGGAAAAGGGCAATGGACAGAGTTGCACTGAAGAGGAGAGGAATTACACACGTCCTGAACACTTTACCCATTTTGGCAAATCAAGATGCATTGAGGAGGGAACAGGCCAAGCTGTACGAGACAATGAACATCTCCTACCACAATGTGTTTTCAAGAGACGATGACCCGTTTGACTTTAGCTGCCATATCTACCGAGTGGCAGAACTCATGCACAAGATTCTGAGCAACCCAGAGAGTAAGAACACACACACACACACACACACACACACAGTGTATTAATATCATGTTCTAGTGTGTTCAATTGTTTTGTGTCTTTCTTTTCTCAGATCAGCTGCTGGTGCAGGATCAACAGGGTTGCAGGCACGCCTGCTTTTTCGTGGTGCCATATCTGATGATATACCATGGAAAAACATTGACGAAGGCCATTAGCCATATGATAAACCGTAAAAACATCAGAATGAGCAGGGACCTCCTGACGCAGCTAGTCGTCTTCGCTTGTCACCACAATCAGCAGCAACAGCCGGGTTTGATGCCGGAGTTTTCATCTATCGACATAAACCACCCTCAGACCATTTCCCAAATGTACCTTCGTATCGTCAAACCCTCCCAGTACTGGACTCCTGTCAGTGAAGTCTGGCCCAATGTCTTCATAGCTGACGAGTAAGTCTACAACACACACATATAACAGCAAAGCATACAGTCAAATAATGATGCAGGGTTTCACCCGGGCTTAATTCCCACAGTCATGGAGTTTTTAAAAGATCTATTGCAGACATTAAAAGTCAGGGTAAATGTTTTTAAGTCATGTTTTATCATGTTGTTGTGGTTAGGGTATTTCTCCCTGCAATTTTATTCCGCTTGTCAACCAGCACTCAAATTCAGTCCTTAAATTCAGGCTGGTAAAATACTGTCTGAGGCTGGTTTTTGTTCGCTCAGTGCTCAGTCAGTTGTTGCGTCCCAATTCGCATACTTATACTACACCCTAAAAGTATGCAAGCTTTGGGACATACTACTTCCGCGTTTCTTGGTATCGAAACTTGTACCAAATATCGATATTTTTAACTTGTAGTATCGAAAATCATATAGTAGTGTATCGATGTTTGTCAAGGTATCGTATCAAAGTCTGAAATCCAGTATCGTGACCACACTACTTCAAACTATTTGACTACAGATTTGAGGACAGATGGAGTAAAAAAAAGCACAAAATGCTGAAAACTGTCAGTTTGTGGATTTGTTTTACAACGTGGCCAAAATCTGCAAGCAAAATCTGCGTTATTAATACAATAACAAGCTCCTGTAAACTTTGTTAAATTCAGCATTTGTAGATTTACAGAACTCCAGAGTGAGCGCTGTGTGTTCTTCATCGTGAATTCAGCTTTTCAGTCAGTGAAAGTGAAGGGAAATTGATGATGTTGTTGTGTTCTTGTGCAGGAAAACAGCGAGGAACAAAGCCAAACTGAAAAAGATGAACATCACGCACATTGTGAACGCTGTGCCGTTGTCCTTAAAGGAAGAGGAATGGAAGGACTACTACCAGAAGAAGAACATCACTTACTACAATGTGCGTTCAGGACTCGGAGTCCAGGGCTGGCCAAACATAGCACAGTTATTTTCACCAGCAGCAGAATTCCTACACAAGGCCCTGAGTGACACAAAGAGTAAGAGTTGACACACACACACACATGCAATATTCATCTGCAGTTGAAGCAGAATTATTAGCCCCCCTGAGTTATTAGCCCCCCTGTATATTCCTGTATATTCCTGTTATTTCTGTTAACAGAAAGCAGATTTTTTCAGCACATTTCTCAACATAATAGTTCTAATAACTGAATAATTGTGACTTCAGCTGTGTTGTTACTTAAATGAGTTTGTTTTGACCGTCTTTTTTTCTGCATTTCCTCAGATAAGGTGTTGCTGTACTGCAGCGAGGGCTTAAACCAGTCTGTCGTGCTTTTTATGGCATATCTGATGATCCACCAGCGCATGAAGCTGGAAGAAGCATTTGAGTTTGTGTTGGAGAGGAGACGCATGTGGATAAGCAGGGACTACTTGAACCAGCTGGTGATGTTGAATCTGGACCTCGCAAAGCTTCGCGAATTGAACGAGTGTAGACCCTGCTGCACAGACTGCTACGAAGCTATCTTACGACTTAATCTAACGTAACATGCAGTATGTAAATATGTAAATATGGTGTTGACATGTCTGTTTGTCTTCTGTTCATGAGCATTGTGAGAAAAATAAAGAAAGATTTGCTTCAATTGTGTTTCTGACCAGTTTTTCAGCTGACAAAGTTCAAAATAGAATAAAATAGTAAAATAGCTTACTCAGCATTTATATACAGGTCTCATTGCGTTTAAATGAGTTAGTTTAAACTCTCAGTCTTGTAATAAGGCAATAAAACAACATTATCTCACTTTGGGTCTGGATCTGAATTTTAAAGAACATTCTGGGTTAATTTAATCAATATCATCTGTTAAAACTATTCTGAAATGAAAATGAACAACATATTTGTAATGAGCGTGTGTATTATGAGTACAGAAATCCTCCGAACAGTAGTTGTGTCAAGTACTAAATAACTACAGTGAGCTTCTGAAGTCATTTAGACTATATTAGGTTACTCAGGTCAGTCTCTCCTGTAACACTGTTTGATACATAAGATGTCAATGATGCGGTATCCTTTCCAAAGTCCATATTGAGTCTTTAAACATAAATATTAATATCTAGAATTTTTAAAAATTTTATTACAAAACGGCCACTTTTTTAGGTACACTTTACTAGTACCGGGTTGGACCCCCTTTTGCCTTCAGAACTGTCTTAATCCTTCGTGCCATGGATTCAACAAGGTACTGGAAATATTCCTCAGAGAATTTGCTCAATATTGACATGGTAGCAGTCAGGTTTCAACAAATGTTTTTGTGTTACTTTAACTCATTTTAATAAGTTAATCAGATTTCAGCAAATGTTTTTACGTTAATAATATTGACCTTAAAATGGTTCTTAAAAAATTAAAAACTGCTTTTATTCTAGTCGAAATAAAACAAAATGACTTTCTCCAGAAGAAAAAAATATTATCAGACATAATGTGAAAGTTTCTTTACTCTGTTAAAAAAACCAACCATCACAGTAATAAAAGACTGAAATTATACCGAGTTTTATTCATATTAAGATTTATTAGTTTACCGATTAAATTGTATTTTCTTAACGTCTTAACCTAACCAAATCCTAAACCCAACCATCATCATAATGTAAAAAACAGAAATTATACCGATTAATCATATTATTTATTAGATAACGTTTGAGTAACTGTAGTATTTTATTAACGTCTAACCCTACCCAAATTTTAAACCCAACGATCACAGTAAAGTACGTTAAAAACAGTAACGTAATTATACCGAACATTATTCATATTATTTATTAGATTACCGACTAAATTGTATTTTATTTACGTCTAACCCTACCCAAACCCTAAACCCAATCATCACAGTAATGTAAAAATATTAATAATTGCTGTACAGTGTCACAAAAAATTATGCCATAATGACGTCAATATCCGCAGTTGTATCCCATCAAAACTTTACCGTCATATGCCTGTTTCTTTACCGCTTTATTCCCCTGAATTCCACAATATCTGATTATATTGTAGTTATTACTGTTCAATAAAAACGACTTTACCGTCAAACGATGGCGCCCTTGCGACAAAATACCGACGTTTCAGCACGAGAAGAACAACCCGGAAGCGGCAGTCAAGGCGGAAGTGCAGAAATGGAGGCGGCCGTGTTCATTTTATCCCTCGTCGACTGCTGCGCTTTAATATTCCTCTCCGTCTATTTTGTATCCTTTATCAAGACTCCACCTGAATGAAGAAGTGTTTGCCTGAGCTCTCCTCACCTGAGCATGAGTTTGTCGCTGTTATTATTAGCGGTTAGACTGTGATTGCGGACAGATCAGGATCGCTCAGGCTTGTGTTTGTCGTTTATTTTGATTTAATAAGTTGACCTGCTTACATCTGTGTAGATTAGATGCACAGAAGTGTGACATTATAGTGATTATCGGTTGAAAGATGACTTGTATATCAGCCTGCAGCTGTATATTAGGTTTTGTATTGAGGTAAAGTTGGTTATTTATAATATGTGACTTGCTCTCTGTAATGTTTACCACACTACTTTGAATATTAGGTCTGAAATCGAGTGTAAGTATGACTTAAAGCAACATTAGCACTATTTAATCGACTGTAAACAATGTACTTTTAATAGTCATTAGCTGCTAATATGATTTCACTATTTATAATTAGCAAATAATAATAAATAATATTAACTCATTTTAATAAGTTAATCAGATTTCAACAGATGTTTTTACGTTAATAATATTGACCTAAAAATGGTTCTTAAAAATTAAAAACTGCTTTTATTCTAGTCGAAATAAAACAAAATGACTTTCTCCAAAAGAAAAAAATATTATCAGACATAATGTGAAAGTTTCTTTACTCTGTTAAAAAAAAACAACCATCACAGTAATAAAAAAACAAATAATAATTAGCAAATAATAATTTTCTGAAGTGATATTATTAATAAAAGTAAAGTTAATTAGTTAGTCAAAGTTAATTTTGGGATATTCAGACATTCTCCTTAAAAATATAATTTCAGAAAATTATTATTTGCTAATTATGAATAGTGAAATCATATTAGCAGCTATTGACTATCAAAAGTACAGCATTGTTTACAGTCAATTAGATAGAGTTAATGTTGTTTAAGTCATACTTGCATGCTAATTCTGATCCAATATTCAAATTAACATGGTAAACAATGTAGAGACTGCTAAATGAACGAATGGGCGAATGTAAAACCAACTTTACCTCTGAATATGTGTGAATATAAGCCCGAGATTTGTGTGAATGATTGTTTGTGATGTGTGTGTGTGTGATTTCCCTGACTCTGTGTTCAGATAATTACTCTATCAGATCTGGAATGTGACTACATCAATGCTCGAGCCTGCTGCTCCAAGTTAAACAAGGTACGAGTCAATCATTGAGGTCAACTTGGTTTAATATTCACACATTCGTTCACTTTCCCAGTGATGGGTTGCAGCTGAAAGGGCATCCGCTGCGTAAAACAAATCCTGGATAAATTGGCAGTTCATTCCGCTGTGGTGACCCCAGATTAATACAGGGACAATGTACAACATGACATGTTGTGACAGTTATCTATAAAGCTAATTTGGGTAGATCGGATATTAATAAATAATTATAATTAATTAATAATTAATTAACATAAATAATACTCAGTACAGCTACTGTTTTTACAGTACTGTGGTGGTTGGGTTTAGGGTCGGGGTGGGAGTAGACGTTAATAAAATACAATAAATGGGAAATTTATTAAACAATTCTCATTAACGCCACCGTATCCGATCTAGCAACAGCTGCTAATTTACATCTGTAATTCCTAGGCAGGAAGTTGTAACAAATTTAATAGTAAAAGTAATTCATTATACACTTACAATACAATGCATACAGTATTGTCAGTAAAATGAAATAAATTCAGCGGCTGCATATTTGATCTCGTTTAAGCCAAATTTTAAGAAGTTTTAAAATTATTATTTTTATTTTTTTAAATATTTTGTTTTATATAACAGTTTTTATAAGATATTTAACACGTGTGCAGAGTTACTGAAGTTTGTCCTGCGCGCTTGCGGTTCTTTTTTAGTTACTTCTTTGGTTTGGTGCGTTAATCTGATCGTTACTATTATTCAAAAGAAGGTAATGATTCGCACTCAATTGCTTCATACTGTTTTTATTTTTACTTTTTCTTACATTTTACGGGTGATAACAGACAAACAGACGTCTGTTTGTCTGTTATCACCCGTAAAATGTAAGAAAAAGTAAAAATAAAAACAGTATGAAGCAATTGAGTGCGAATCATTACCTTCTTTTTAAGATATTTAACAAAAACAGCACAATGCCAATAAAAAGAAGAAAAATATATAATAATAATAATATAAAATAATTGACATTAGCCCCCCACCCCCTTAAAAAGATAAATATATAAATAAAAAAAAGGGAGGGATCGTCCCAGTTACCAAATATACATAAATATCCATGCATGACAAATGTAGCATAAACATATTAAAAAAAAAAGATGACAGTATTCACGTTCTTACAAAGTCAGTGTCATGAATATATGAGTTAGAGATGGAAATTTACAAAAGGTAAAATGCTAGATTTAAAATTATTAAAAGGTACTAATAAAGGGGCTAAACTAAGAAAATGAATGAATGAATGAATGAATAAACATTAGTTCACGATCCCTGTTGTTTACTGCTACTTTAAATATTGCTGCACAGCTTGGTGAATGGGCATAATTGTTCTCCCGTAAGAAGTCAAAGTTGAATTGTTTCCACATTTCACACGGTGGTCTTGCATGTAGAAAATGACCTGCACGTATTCCTGTCTGAATGTGATTTTAGCATGGTTTGCATGTGTTTTTCTCTTGTTCAGTGGGTGATTCCCGAGCTGATCGCTCAGGCTCTGCCCACAGTCTTAATGCTGGTCTCCATGCACTGGTTTGTGCTCCTGCTCAACTTGCCTGTGGCTGCGTGGAACATTTACAGGTATAGCTGTACACGCATCTCTACACACTATTTTCAAATTAAGAGCTGCACTTCAAGATTTGGGCAACTTCTATTAATTTTATTTGAGAAGGTTGTGCTACAAATAGTCCCATTCATAGTAAACAAACTCAGGGGAAGGTACTTGTGTGCTTCAGTTGAATTAGTTTTTACATTTGGTATTTTAGCTTGCCTGCAGTATCACCAGCATATCTGTGGCTCTTTTGCATTCACTATGTTTTGCAGATTATTTTCTAATAATAATAATAATAATATACCGTATGCATCCATAGGTTTGATTATTTACTATTTATGTATTATTTTTAAATCCATTCAGCTTATTATCTGGGTCTGCCAGGAGCACTTTTAGCTTAGCTTAGCATAGATCATTGAATCGGATTAGACCATTAGCATCTCGCTCAAAATGACCAAAGAGATTATGTAATTTTCAAAGACTGCAGTTCCTTGATTTTTACGCCAGAATGAGAGTACAGTTCCTAGCAATATCAGCCTAGTCAAGCTTTAAATAGGACCACTATCAAAACCTTTTAATAATTTTTGAGTGAGATGCTGATGGACTAATCTGATTCAATGATCTATGCTAAGCTAAAAGTGCTCAATAAAATGGTGTTTTAACTCGCATTGGGAGCATTTTACACTGAATAAAGCCCATAATCAGTACCTGAGGTGATCTTTGTTATAGTAGTTTATGCTGTTGTTCTGCTGTTTACCATTTTTCAATCCAATCAGCCGATTTCCAGCTCTGGCAGGAGCACTTTTAGCTTATTGAATCATTGAATCAGATTAGACCATTAGCATCTCACTCAAAAATAACCAAAGAGTTTCAATAATTTTTGAAGACCACAAAGTTCCTTGATTATTACATTGAAACGAGAGCACAAGTCCTAGCCATATCGGCCTAGTTTAGTTTAGTTTATTTGTTTACAGCAGAGGTTCTCAAAGTGGGGGTCGGGACCCCCTGAGGGGTCGCGGGGCAATGAGGGGGGGTCGCCTGGTGATTTCCAAAAATCTATTTATTTTTATTAAACCATAAGAATTAACATATTTTATCCATAACTATACTGAAAATAAAAATAGTCGTTTATAGTTACTATATAGTTACTGTAGTAGCTTATAGTTACTAGTTCTATTGAATTGCGACCCCTGGGGTAATTACATTATATTAAACGCAGCAATAGCGTCAGATGCATTTTGATTTTATAACATCAGGTTATACTTTCTGGCACATTTAAAGCACTGACACAAATTTAATTGGTGTGTCTGCGTCATTGCATGCAAGGTTTCTGTATTTATAACCACCTCAGAGGATTTTGGGGGTCGTGAGTCACTGGAATTGTTATTTTGGGGGTCGCGGGCTGAAAAGTTTGGGAACCCCTGGTTTACAGGGTCAATGCACATTAATAAACATTACTGTAAAATGTGCCAGAATTAGCCAAGAATGACTATTTTTCATCCGCAGACGCCTTACAGAATGTTGAAAAGTCACATCTAAAATAGAAGCACAACATTAAACTTTAAATACACTTTCATATAAAAAATACAGTTAAAAAAGTAAAGAAAAGAAGAAAAAAACAGACTGATGGCAGCAGAGGACAAAAAGCCAAAGACAACAGTACAAATGTGTCAAGAATACAGCACTAATGCTGATTTGTTAATAACCAATTTTTAACATGAGACTGAAAAGAACTAAAAGTGCATGATCATCTAATTGTTGGTGGGATGGAGATCCATTCCTTAGCAGCTCTCACTGAAAATACAGACTGACTGAATTTACTTTTTTTGAGAGGAATCATGCAGTCCCCCCTGTCACCTCCTCTAGTATTTCGGTGAGCGGTCGTTCTAATATTTACAAACTGATTTAATGGTGAAGTCGGGTTATGTAAAGTCTTAAACATTAAACAGATATGTACATATTTAATAAAATTTTCCCAACTAAGCCGGTTGTATTTCTTAATCAATTCCTTTCAATATTTGAAGAAATATCGAACTGATTACCTTGCGAGGGGAATGAAGCCCTCTCGCTTCACTGATCGTTTAATTAAAGCTGCTACCATAATTCCTGCAAAGCATCATGGGTAATGGGAATGCAGTGGAAATACAGCTGAAGCTCTGCCTTTGGTCGTCCTTAGATTTGTGAAGGTGCCGATGGGGAACATGGGAGTTTACGACCCAACGGAGATCCACAACCGAGGCCAGCTGAAGACCCACATGAAGGAGGCCATGATCAAACTGGGTTTCCACCTGCTCTGCTTTTTCATCTACCTGTACAGGTATACTCACACACACACACACACACACACTGCAGTTTTCAATTTTAGTTTATTTATATGTTTGACTTTGGCACAAACGTGTTTAATAGCTAAGAAAAGTTTTGTTTTCATGCGTCTTTCCATCGTAGGCCTTTTCCTCTGCGAGTCACTCAGTGTGAATGAGGCTTTAGGTTGCATCTGAATGTTGAAGCTGGAGTTGAGTGTGTGTGTTTCTGTCCTTCTGTTTGCAGTATGATCCTGGCGCTCATCAACGACTGACCACACACACACACACAACTGCCGCCTACGCAGATCCAGGATCAGCCCAAACCCTGCTCCACTTCCACTGATGAAGATGAAGATTCACCCTATTTCTGTCCATCCACAACTGCTGCTCAGGGCTGAAGCTTCAAGACAATCTCACACACACACACACACACTTACAGCTCACATTCATCCCCAAGAGAACACACAATATTCGGCATTAGGATAACTGGATACTTTTGCCACTATGAGAATATTTGCATGACAATTAAGCATATTTTAATTTGCATAATGACTGTTTTCTTATTACACTCCACGTTTGTTCTGTTGTTTTAAAATGAATGCATATTATTAAATTTATTATAATAATACAATTATTTTATTAACATTATTGTTTTTAAATATTGTTATTACAAATTATGACACGTTAATATTATTATTGTAACTCATGGTGACCAACAATACCTTGTTTTAAGAATATAAAAAATATGTTAATGAGCAGTGCAATTACACACAAATTTGGGTCATTTGCATATTTCTCATCATTTGTTTTCAATCTTAACTGCTGTATTATTTTTATAGGTTTAAAATATTCATAAAAGTCAACAAAACGGATTCAAGTTAATACTATTATTGTAATTAATAATAATAATAATAATGTTTAAAGAATACAAATAAAGTTAAAGTAGGATTTATTTCAGTCATATTCAAAAAAAATTAAGAGTTTACATTATTGTTGTTAAAATATTCAATAAATATCATCATCATTTACTAATAATACTAACAATGCAAATTATAAGTAATAGTATTGTAATTAATAATGACTAGAAATAATAATAATACAAATTATGACACACATTAATAATATTGAAGTTCATGGTTGACTGCTAATAACTTCCCTTATGTTTTAAGAATGTTAAATATGTTAATGAGCAGTACAATTAAAACACAGATTCGGGTCGTTTGCATACTTCTCATCATAATGAAGACTAGATTTGTTTTCGATCTTAACAACTGTATTATTTTTATATGATTAAACTATTCATAAAAGTCTTTGTACTCAACAAAACGGATTCAAGTTAATACTGTTATTGTAATTAATAATAATAATGTTTTACGAATACAAATAAAGTTAAAAAGCAGGATTTATTTCAGTCATATTCAAAAAAACTAATTAAGTTTTTTAAATTAACTAAATAATCATTTGCATATTTCTTTTATTGTAATGAGGCTAGATTTTTTGCAATCTTAACCACTGTATCATTTTTAGGATTCAAATATGTAATACAGATTCAAACAAATGCTGTTATTGTAATAAATAATGACTAATAATAATATTGTTTTAGGAATCAAGTTAAAAGGCAGGATTTATTTTGTAATATAAAAAAAATAAAGTTTACAGAATTGTTAAAATATTCCTTAAATATCATGAGTATTCACTAATAATGCTAACAATACAAATAATAAGTAATGTATAGTAATAATACCGTAATTAATAATGACTAGGATTATGGTTTAAGAATAATAAATAAAAGCAGCACAAAATTTTGACCATTTACATCATATTTCTTGTGTATTATAATGAAAACTTTGATTTATAGGGCAATCCTGTGAAGCTTTATTTTGATGGTCCCGATTGCACATTATGTTGACTAAAAGTTTCATTGCAACTGCATGGCAGGTAATTCTCATGAGTATAAATCGACTGTCTGCTTAATATGTGCTGATGCTGCTCCTTCAACACATTTAACTGACTAAACTGCAAGAACATGTCAACTTACATTAACCCAAACCGTCTGCTTATAATCTAATGGGAACTAGTTGGCATGTAGATGCAATGTAGCTTAATTCAACAAAATGTGTCAAAGGGACCATCAAAATAAAGTGATGCCAACTTTATTATTGAAAAACATATTTATTATTGCCCAATATTACTAACAATAATTAATACAAATAAATGATCATTATAAAGCACAAATATCAGCGTTTTTTTTGCATTCTGGAGCTTAAAATGTGCTTAATTGTCATGTAAATAAAGATCACAATTTTATTGATTATTTTTTTTATGATTTATGTTTTGCCACACTGATTTGCATGCATTTTTTAAATCACTGTTTGGGAGGTTTTGGGTGTGTGAAATATTTGTGGGTTTATTGACTTCTGCTCATCTCATCTGACTCCAGCAGATTTGAGAAATGCGGCTCCTCCTGCTTTTCTCGTCAGATCGCTAAACCTGATGTTTTAAATGCGTTTAAGTGACGGTCAGTCTCACTAAACCAGTCGTGAATGCATCATTTTTGAGGCTGAAATCAGTGTTTGTTAAGTTTATATTAAAAGTTTCATTTGCAGCCTGTTTACAGTCATTTTATTTTACATTACTGTCATTGATATTTAAAGGGACAGTTCACCCAAAAATGAACTTCCTGAGGGTGAGTCAATGGCTGCTTTTTTCATTTCTGGGTGAATTATTCCTTTAAATATCATTTACAGTCATGCAAAATACTAAATAACTTAATGTTTGTAAACCGGCTGCAATCAAAACATTACTGTTATTAATATTTAAAGGGATAGAGTATGTAGGAAACTTGTAACCATCGACTTTCATAGTATGTTTTTCCTACTTTAGAAGTTAACTGCTTTCTAACATTCTTAAACAAACAATAGTTGATGGTTACAGGTCTTCAAACTATCTTTTGTGTTCAAAAAGAAGAGACTTTGAAGAATGCTAGAAACTGATTAACTTCCAAAATAGGAAAAACAAATGCTCTGAAAGTCGATGGTTACAGGTTTACAAAATTTTCATAGTATTTGTTTTTCCTATTTTGGAACTTAACCGTTTTTTTTTTTTACATCTTTTTGAACACTTAATAAAGTCAATGGTTACAGTTTTCAAACTATCTTTAGTGTTCGTAAAGAAGAGACTTTGAAGAATGTTAGAAACCAGATAACTTTCAAAATAGGAAAAACAAATAATGTGAAAGTCAATGGTTACAGGTTTCCAACATTTTTCACAGTGTTTGTTTTTTTTTATTTTGAAAGATAACCGGTTTCTAACATTCTTTAAAGTCTCTTTTTAAACACAAGAGATAGTTTGAAAAAATGTTGGAAACCTGTAACCATTGACTATATTTTTTGTTTAAAAAGAAGAAAGTTAGAAACCAGATAAGTTCCAAAGTAAGAAAAACAAATGCTATAAAAGTCAATGGTTACAGGTTTCCAACATTTTTTAAACTATCTTTTGTTCAAAAGGAAGACACTTTGAAGAATGTTAGAAACTATTTAACTTCTAAAATAGGAAAAACAAAAACTATGAAAGTCGATGGTTACAGGTTTCCAACATTTTTCATAGTATTTTTTTTTTTTTTATATTTTGGAAGTTAACTGGTTTCTAACATTTTTCAAAGTCTCTTCTTTTTGAACACAAAAGATAGTATGAAAAATGTTGGAAACCTGTTACCCTTGACTTTCATAGTATTTGTTTTGGTTTATATTGAAAGTTTCGATTGCAGCCTGTTTACAGCCATTTTATTTTACATTACTGTCATTGATATTTAAAGGGACAGTTCACCCAAAAAGGAGCACTCTTTACCCTCAGTATGTTTCTAAACCAGGGGTGTCCAAACTCGGTCCTGAAGGGCTGGTGTCCTGCATATTTTAGTTCAAACCACAATTAAACACACCAGAATCAGCTAATCAAGTTCTTTCTAGGTGTACTAGAAACCTCCATCACCGAGTTTAGACACCCCTGTTCTAAACCCATAGAAATGTCTTTGACAGCCCAATTTACTGCCATAATAGACAAAATAAACGCGATGGGAGTGGCAGGATCTGTTTGGATACCGATATTCTTACTGATATCATCCCTTGTGTTTGTGCAGAGGGAAACTTGAAACTAGTTTGGATCAAAGAAGGATTAAGTAAATCAGTAAATGATGGAGAAAATTAAATTTTGGGGTGAACCGTCCCTTTAAGGAGAATTTTCTGTATGCTTTTTTAAATTCTAAAATGCATTTATTTCTTGATTCTAGGATTTGTTATGCTGCCTGCAGATTTAAAATTCATATCAAAATAAAAATAATGATGCAATATAGTGCACACACACACACAAACACATACACACACACACACAAACATTCTTTAAAAAAAAAAAAAATGAAAACAGCTGCCATTTATAAGGGGTAGTTCACCCAAAACTGACAATTCTGTAATGTTTTATTCACCCTTTAAATGTTTGAAACCAGCCAGAGTTTCTTTAATCTGTTGAACACAAAAGATAATTTGAAAACTGTTGGAAACCTGTAAGCATTGACTTGTCATGTTTCTAACATTCTTCAAAGCGTCTTTAAAGAGAGTCAATGGTTACAGGTTTCAAACACTATGAAAAATGTTGGTTTTTCTAATTTGAAAGTTAACAGGCTTCTAACATTCTTCAAAGTATCTTCTTTTTGAACACAAAAGAGTTTGATAGTCAGTGGTTACAGGTTGCCAACATTTTTCTAACTATCTTTAGTGTTTAAAAAAAAAAAAAAAGACACTTCGAAGATTGTTAGAAACTGGTTAACTTCCAAAATAGGAAAAACAAATACTATCAAAGTCGATGGTTACAGGTGGAAGTTAACCGGTTTCTAACATTCTTCAAATTCTCCTCTTTTTGACCACAAAATATGCTATAGAAAATGCAGGAAACCTGTAACCATCGACTTTCATAGGGTTTCTTTTTTTGGGAGTTAACCCGTTTCCAACATTCTTCGAAGTCTCTTCTTTTGTGTTCAATAGAGGAAAGCAACTCATAAACCAGTGGAGGGTGAGTAAATCTTTGGGTGAACTGTCCATTTAATGGTTCCATCACCTTTAAAGCTGATGAATGCTAACGGTTCAGCCAATCAGACAACAGTACAGCTGATCACATTCATGACTCCTCAATGTTATTATTCGATGCTGTCGTTCAGAAGAGAGGTTGTTCGTTGTTCATTTGAGATTATTGTCATCGGTTTGTTCATTTGTTTTTACATATTTGCATTTGTGGTGTTTCTTAAATAAAATGAAGACGTAAAAATGTTATTCACAGACCTGTCATGAGTTATTCATCACGCTTCAGAATCCAGCTTCACTGTTAGAGATACCCCAGAGCTGACTGGATGTAGTAAAGCAGGTGTTTCATTCAGAAAGATGGGGAAAAGGGTTTGGGGAGAGTTATTACAGCCTAACAGACTCCTCCTGCTCATCATTTCTGTTTGTTGTCAAAACTGACAGCTGGAGGGGGCGTGGTTACGTATGTTAGCCCCACCCACTACCTCAGACATAATGATTTAACTAAGAACAAACAGGTGCATTTGCAGACTTTGATTAAAGATTACCATAGATGTATACATTAGATGTCGCCTGGCCTATTGTTGTCTACTGGACGGAATGCGTCAATAGCGCCGCCATCTTGGTACAGGGTAGCGCTCCTTTGAAATGAACGCGGGACCTAGGTACAGTGGAGGACTGTGGCCACATAAAGCCAGAGATATACACATATTTCTATGATCGGGAGTTTTCCTGGATGTTAGTATGTAATTTTTTTTCTAATTACGAAAATTAAAATTTTACATCACTTTTCTACATTGATGGATCAGTGACCGCACAGGCATTCCTGACAAAAAGCTTGTGTTTGTGTGTACAGAAATGTATTATTCACCCTCCCTGTTAAATTTAATCTAATCATGTCCTGAAACACAGCTCCTCTCCTGCTTTCACTGCTCATACTGACGGAGGGAGCGACTCGTTTGTGAATGAATCCCCCGAACGACTCTTTCACTAACGTTAGCCGACAATAATACAGGTTTCTGGCAGCGCAGCATCTCGTTGTCATATTTCTTTTGCATTGTTTGCTGATTGTATTCAACAAAACTAGCATAAGCCGAGTGTTTAGTGCGAGTTGGAGCTGCTTTGCTGTATGGTGAATGCAGTAAGTGACTGTTATCATCAATAACGTTACCTGATTAGCACAAAAGTTCAGAACATACAAAAACAGAAAAAAACTTAATATTACCTATGAAATGTTCTGCCTTTGTGCTTTGTTTTCTTTGTTTGCTCGTTACTACACCCGTAGACAGCGCTAAAGTCCCGCATCTTCACGTAATAACACTGTCTTGACTAGTGCGGTTGAATGACATTTGTCCTGGGAGCACTGTACAAATATGGCGGCGCTATTGACGCATGCTCAGGGTCCCTATGCGACATCTTGTGTATATATCCATGAAAGATTACAAGCGCAAACATTTTTTTTTTTCTCAACGAGATGCACAAGCAATGCGAGCTAACAAAATCACTATGGCTAGCTTTGATTTCAGGTGTACTTTACCGACTTTTGGACAAAAGTGAGGACTCGCTCCGGCTAGTCTTAAAACCCTGAATGCTTTATTGAAAGTATGTATACATAACACCTCTCCTACAGAACATTACATAATAGTACAATCACTTAGAATAATAACACACTGAAAATGCAGGACAGATCCTCGTGAACCTGACCGCAATAAACTTAGGCCAAAAGTCTAGCTTAGTTCACCAGCCCGAAGCACAACAACCTCAAAACCTAAGACTGGAAGGAAACACAAATATTCAGAAGCAAAGGAAAGGAAAGCAGTTCAGTTGCATAAACCAGAACGTACAACACCACGAGTGTGCGAGATCTCCACGTGTGAGGGTGTTTCTGCATGCACCGCTTTGCCTTTTTTTTCTCGGCGTCACTCAGAACAGGTCAGGGTACGAGTAACCTGTACAAGGAGTTTACCTGATGCAGGTGAGAAACGCTTAACATCTGTAAGGGAGGATACATGGCGAGAAATACACACACGCAAGTCTGTATTAATATATATATTATTTATATATATTTATATCTATAGATTCTTCATATGAAGAGCACATAATTACAGAAGAACTCAAAGTAGGCAATGTAGTTCGCTGGAGTGATCACACTCTGAACACCCAAATCATTAAGAGTACACCTGTACTGATGCTATGAAAGTATAAGAAATTCACCGATAGAAAAAAGCATTTAAGAGGCCACTTGCCGAGATATATACCATAATACAAGGGTAAAGCAATAAAGCCAACAGAAAATAAACAAAATAAAAGTCAATAAAACGACGAGTAATCCTAAACACGTTAAAAAAAAGCATTAAAGGGGAAGTGAAGCGCACTAGTTAGCATTGTTTTGTACACTGGATTCCACTTCAATGAAAATTTACTAAACTAACTCTATTGATGAAACCGTTTAGCAGAACACAGCATGTTTTACTGTAGATTTTAGACCTAGGGTGAATATCGCTGTCTGACGTCACGGGGTTGGTTCCGTTCCCTCAGCTGAACAGATACAGTGGAAGTAATAGACTGAACACCCTAATTTAACACACTGCATGAAGATGTGGACGTGGAGCTGCTGCAAATACAAGCATCAGATGTATGTATATGTATGTATGCACACACGTTTCAGCACACGCAATCCAGCACATACAATCTAGGCAGGGGCGAACCATATAGGGTTAACACAGATGTTAATGTTATTAATGTCTTCTTGGACCTGGTCATCAATATATATATATATATATATATATATATA